TGTCCTGGAACTCACTATGTAGACCAAGCTGGCCTCAAACTCACAATGATCCACCTGCCTCTGCCTCCCAAGTGCTGAGATTAAAGGCGTGTGCCACCATGCCTGGCCTATTATTTTTATTTTTTGTGTATGAGTGTATTGCCTGCATGTATGTGAGTGCACCCATGTCATATAATGCCCATGGAAATCAGAGGAGAGCATCAAATTCCCCTGGAACTGGAGTTACAGATGGTTGTTAGCTGCCATGTGGGTGCTGGGAATCGAACCCAGGTCCTCTGCAAGAGCAGTCAGTGTTCTTAACCACTGAGTCATCTCTCCAGCCCCACTGAACCATCTTACCAGCCCAGTCCTAGAGTCTTTTAAGACAAGAGATTAGAGGCTGGCACAATAAGTAAATAAAAGTGCCATAATTTTTTTAAAAGAGCAAGAAATTACTCCTTAGCTATCTGGATTTTTTTTTTTTAATTTGTGGTTGTTGCTTTAAATTTCTTTTTCCTAAATAGAAGCATTTACAGTAAGTTTGAGGAGGGGCATGGTGGCACCTTTAATACCAGCACTTGGCAGGCGGAGGTAGGCAGATTTCTCAGTTTGGTCTACATAGTGAGTTCTAGGCCAGCCATGACTACATAGCAAGACCCTGTATCCAAAAAAAAAAAAAAAAAAAACCCAGTAAGTTTGAAAAATGAAGGAGAAATCAGAGGGGACCCTCCCCTGCTCACAGCTTAAAACCCATCCTAAAAACCAGGGCTCTGGTTTTACCTCTCATCTTCCTGTTAGTGAGATAACACAGTAGGTGTGCAGGTTTGTATGTGTGTACCTACTATGTGTCATACCTACTGTGTCAGGCTGTTTGTCAAGTGTTTCACCTGTGTTGCCTCAGTTTGTGTGAGCCCTTCAGGTCCTGTGCTTCAGAATTGTCCCTGTAGAGGCAGGCGGATCTCTGTGAGTTCCAGGCCAGTCTGGGCTAAACAGCAAGTTTCAGGCCAGGTACAGGGAGATCCTGTCTCAAAACAAAACACAAACCAAACAACAAACCAAACAAAAACCAGAATTGTCCCTGTATGGTGGGTTAGAAACTTCCCCAAATTCTCACTGTGAGTGCAGCTAGAGGTAGCAAGCCAGCTCATCTGATAGCAACCCTTTGATTTCTACACCCATTTAGGAACCTGGCCTTTTAAATAGCTCTGTCCACAGTGAGCAAACCTGCTTAGTGTCCTGCCTTGAGTTGTTTTGCATCTGCGGCTAGACTTGGTATTTAGTATATTTAGAGGTTGCCACTCCCAAGTAAAGAGGAAGGCAGCTCTAAACCTGATCCAGAGACCCCAGGTCACTCAGGAGGCGGTATTACAGACACAGCCCCTGTCCGCTGCTCAGGACTGCTGGAGTTGGGGAAGATGGCAGCTCTCACTAAGCCTTTGGCTTTCTTAGTGGCTGCCTCCTCCCTTCGGTGGCATGTTGGGTAAATGTTATCGATCTGTGTCCAGTGGGAAGCTATAGGATCTAGACAGATCCAGTTCTATCAGGCTTGCCAGAGTTGAGGGTGATGGCTACCCCAGGACCATTTCCTGGCCACATGACTTAGAAGAACTGGCCTCCACCTTCTGGGGTGCTTGCAGGTGATGCCAGCATCTCTATTCAATCCTCTGGGTCCTTAGGTAGGCAGGCTGGAGAGAAGGAAAGCCCAGTTTCTAGTGCTGGGTGATGTGAGTCAACCATGGGCAGCATCAAGGAAGGCTTTATGGAAGTGGTGCCCTGGAGGGCAGGCTGTGACTTGTGGCCAGAGCAGGCAGCCACTTTCCCCGGGGAGGGCAGCCCCAGAAGTGCCATCTTTTCTTGCCCTTGTCCTGCAGGGAGAAGAGCAGCCTGACTCACAGCCTGCAGGTGGCCCAGCAGCAGGCTGAGGAGCTGCGTCAGGAGGTAGAGAAGCTGCAGGTGGCTCAAGAGGAGCTGCGGCGGCAGCACAACCAGCTGGAGGAGCAGCAGGAGGACACAGTGCAGGAGGGTGCCCGGGCCCGCAGGGAGCTGGAGCGCAGGTGGGCAGCTGCCTGCCTCCCTGCCAAGGTCCTTCCAATGCAGAGTCCCCAGGCAAGGGGCACCCATGTGTCCTGGACCTCCTGCCACCTGACTTCTAACCAGTCCCTCTTTGGGAAATTGAGGCTCAGAGAGCTGATAGGAAGGGTGCTTTAATGATAGGAACAATAATTAAAAGTATTAAGACTGGAGCAGTGGCTCAGCGGTCAAGAGCACTGACTGCTCTTGCAGAGGGCCTGGGTTTGATTCCCAGCACCCACATGGCAGCTAACAATTGTCTGTAACTCCAGTTTCAGGGGATCTGATGCCCTCTTCTGACCTCTGTAGGTATTGCATGACATGAGTGCACTTACATATATGCGGACAATACATTCATACACACAAAATAAAAAAAAGACAACCATAATTGTAATAATACTACAAAGTGCCAGACGCTATTTTAAGCACTTAGACTCCCTCATTCGACCCTCAGGACAACTCTGTGATGTAGAAGGAATTACCTCCATTTTATAAATGGTAAAACTGAGGCTCCAAGGGGTCATGAAATGATCCAGATCAAGTGAGTGCTGTACTTGTGTCTGAAGTCCCCTGGGGAGAGTGTCAGGCACTGTTTGGAGTAGCTCCTGTGTGGTCAGTATGCGTGTCATAACTTCACAAGGCAGGTTTTAGTCCACATTGCAGATGTGATAACTGATGTTCCAAGTCACAGCAGGGGTGGGGGGGCGGGTTGATTGTCTTTGTGGGTTGATTGTTCTTGCCTCAGCCCAGTTCTGGCCCTGCATCCTGCATCTTACAGGGGGTACAGGGCGGGGATGTGACTTGAGACCTCACCAGTACCCTGCCCTACAGCCATAGGCAGCTGGAACACCTGGAAGTGAAGCGCTCAGGGCTAGTGAAGGAGCTCGTGGAAGTGCGGGAGGCACTGAGCCTGGCCACACTGCAGCGGGACGTGCTACAGGCTGAGAAGGCCGAGGTGGCTGATGCTCTGACCAAGGTGAGTCCTGTTTGCCATATAGCTTGTGATTTTCCCAGTGGCCATAGACTGAGTTTACTGCTGGCTGATGTCTGAGCATGGTCATGCACTGACCCCTTCCTCTGGTTATAGGTTGGCCTTTATTTTATTTATTATTGGGTTATTTTGAGACAGGGTCTCACTGTGTAACTCTGGCTGGCCTAGTGTTCGCTATGGAGACCAGGCTGGCCTTGAACTCACAGAGATCCACCTGCCTCTGCCTGGTGAGTACTGGGACTACAGGCGTGTGCCTCCACACTCAGCCTCTGTTATTGTATTTTTAATCTTTATGTGTATGAGTGCAGGTGAGTGGATGCTTTGGCATGTGTGTGGGGGTAAGAGGACAACCTCAGTGTTGGTCCATGCCTTCTACCTTATTGGAGACAATCTCTGCAGCTGTGCATACCAGGCTAGCTGGCCCATGAGCGTCTGGGGCTTTTCCTATCTCTGCCTCCCATCTGGGTATAGGATCCCTGGGATTATAGATGTTCACTACCATGTATGGCTCTTAAGTGGATTCTGGGGATTTGAACTCAGGTCCTCACATTTGTACAGCAAGTCCTTTACCCACTGAGCCGTGTCCCCAGCCCCACAGGCTGACTTTTGACCCAGGCCACAGATCCCTGCTTCTTCAGATGCTTCTGGGCCAGAGTCTGAGGCTCAGGGTCACCTGGCCCTTTCTCTGAACATGGGTCCTGGGACTGGAAGTTGGGGGTCAGGGGTCATGGTCCTGAGAGTCTCAAACAGGTGCCTGCCCACTCCTGAAGCCTAGACGCTGCATATTGACTCCCGTAGGCTGCCCTTGGATCCCCTCTGGCCCCTTGGCCCTGCCTTCAGGTTCCTTCTTCATCAGCTCTGGAGTGTGAGGCTTCTTTCGTACAGCCGCCTTTGACATGGATCACCAGATTCTGTCACCCCTCCCTTCTTGTACCCCTTCTTGTAACCCAAGTCAGTCTTTGAGAGGCTATTTCTCTGCATCTCTTTCCAGTCACCCCATGTCTCCCTCCCTGACTGATTCTGCTGCCCTGTCCCCACTGCAGGCCGAGGCTGGTTGTGTGGAGCTGGAGCTCTCCATGACCAAGCAGAGAGCAGAGGAGGCCTCCTTGAGGGATTCCTTGTCCAAGCTGAGTGCCCTCAATGAGAGCCTTGCCCAGGACAAGCTGGGACTAAACCGCCTCATCGCCCAGGTATGCTGTATACCAGCCCACCTGTCTTCTCCACTAGGGAGACCCTGCAGAGGCATGTCAGGCCTCCCATACTCTGCTCTGTCCTGCTGCCCACCTCTCATCCTATTTTCTGTCTCTGTCTTCTCTTGTGTATCAAAAAAGGAAGCTCTGGGGGTCCTGCTCTATTCATTCATGCAGGGAGCCTCTCCTGGGCTGACTGTGGTCATTGAAAATCCAGAGGGGCATCCCTGGTCTGTGGAAGCTCTCCCTGCTCCCCCCAGACCTCCATCCATCCTCTACAGCTGGAGGAGGAAAAGGTGGCCCTGCTGGGCAGGCAGCAACAGGCAGAGCATGACACCACCCTGGCTCTGGAGGAGCAGGAGCGGCTGGAGCAGCTGAGGCTGGAGCAGGAGGTGGAGCGGCAGGGCCTGGAGGGCTCCCTGTATGTGGCAGAGCAGGCTCGGGAGGCCCTGGAGCAGCAGCTCCTCACACTTCGCAGTGAACGCAGCCGCCTGCAGGAGCAGCTGGCCCAGGTGGGCTGAACCCCCATGCAGATGTGAAGGTGGGGGCTCCTAGCCACCCACATGCTGTCCAGGCTCAGGAGCTTGCCTCCAGGTTCATATCTACCTCACCTCTACTAGCTAAGGACCTGAAACAAGCTAGATACCTCCCTATACCTCTGTTGCCCTGTCTGTCTCTGGGGCTAGTAATCCTATCACTTAGTGGATGTGCTGGCTCTGAGCTGCCCCTTTCAGTGAAGATCTGTCATATGAAGAAAGTAAGGACTCGGGGGAACCACACAGCCTGAAGGAACTTTAGGGTTTCAGAATTCCAGGGCTGGAATGCAGCTTCCGTCCTGGGACCAGGGTTCCTTTGAGGAGAGTGGGGCATGAGAGCAGGAGTTCCAGCTCCAGCCTGCAGAGCTGCTCCCCTCACTGTTTTCTGTATTCAGCTTCTCAAAAAGTTTTGGGGTGAACAGAGGGCTTAATTACCCCTAGATCTGAGTGAGGTGGGCCCTTGTGCATTGCAGATGTGAACAAGGTTAGGCTTGATTACCCTGGCCTCATGCTGCCAGGTCATGGCTGGGCCAGACTCTGAGATGGAGTGCTGCATGGTGAACCAGCAGGGGTTCAGGGACTTCTGGGGTTTCTGCTCATAGTCTTGGGTCGGTCAGCTCTCCCGGCAGTTGAATGGGCGGGAGCAGGAGCTGGAGCAGGTCCAGCGAGAGTCACAACGGCAGGTGGAGGCTCTGGAGCGTGCAGCCCGGGAGAAGGAGGCATTGGCTAAGGAGCGGGCTGGCCTGGCTGTGCAGCTGGCAGCAGCGGAACGTGAGGGTCGGACCCTGTCAGAGGAGGCCATTCGCCTGCGGTAAGGCTTGGGCTTTGCCCAGCCCCCTGTAAGGCCCTGTCTGGGGTCACATCCTGACCAGCCACACCCTGGTGTTGACCCAGAGATACAGTAACTTAGGAGCCAGTCTTTACCCTTACAGCCTAGCTCAGATGCAGCCTTCCCCAGAGAGCTTGGGCCTAGCCAGGCAAGTAGGCTGGCACTTACTGCCCATGCCCCAAGATCCACAGTTTTCTGGGACTGGAAAGGCTGAGTTCTGAGGCCTTAAGGGACTGTGCTGCAGCTTGGAGAAGGAAGCCCTGGAGAGCAGCCTGTTTGATGTGCAGAGGCAGCTGGCTCAGCTCGAGGCCCGCCGGGAACAGCTAGAAACGGAGGGACAAGCCCTGCTGCTGGCCAAGGAGACCCTGAGTGGTATGAGCATCTATGAGGACTGGGGGAAACCAGGCCCCATCTTAGACTTCAATCTGGAGGATCCTGAGGCCTTCAGAGGTTGGGAGCCCTGGGGAGGAGGAGTGTGGCTGACCTGGGTTCCAGTCCTGAGCTGAGCAAGCTGCTTCCCTCCCTGGGCCGCAGGTTCCCCAGACACTGGAGGTGGGAGGAGTCCCCACCTGCCCAACCTATGGCCAGGATGAGGTGAGGGAGCACGTGAGGCCTTGGCATAGTGCCCGGCTCAGTCAACAGTGGCTGCTGTGTCTTTGTCATCAGGGAGTTTGGAGAGAGTTCTAAGTTCCCTATAGAGCCATCAGCTGTTTCTCCATGACTCTCAGCCCCACGTCCCAGCCCGTGGTCCCCATACTCTCCCCACTTTCTCTACATTCAGTCATGAAAGGTCATGAAGTGGCCCTGGAGTTTCCCAGCTCCTGACCTGGAGCGAGCGCATCAGTGTTGGGGTTGCTGTGTTTTTGACATCCTTTCCCTCTCTCATTTTATCCCCTCACTGCTTTTCTAGGTAGGTGGGGAACAGAGCCAGGGGGCCCATGTGGCAGGTGGGCAGGTGCTCAAAGAGGGTGAGCCACTTCAAAAGAGCTCAGCCCAGGTGCCAGGCTAGCTCACCCCTCAGAGATTTTGCTCACCTGGTCCAAATCTGTTGGCCCAGAGAGAGATTCTGACTCAGCTGTCTTTCCCCCCACCCCTCTTCTGCAGCGGAGCTGGCAGGCCTGCGGCAGCAGGTAGCAACCACAGAAGAGAAAGCAGCTCTGGACAAGGAGCTGATGGCCCAGAAGCTGGTGCAGGCCGAGCGGGAGGCACAGGCCTCTCTGCGAGAGCAGCGAGCAGCCCACGAGGAAGACCTTCAGCGACTCCAGCATGAGAAGGTTTGGGCAGCTGGGAAGGGGTGGACAGGGCTCTGAATCACTGGCTCCTCTGTCATTTTTGCTCTGCCTCAATCTCCACATCTATGAAACAGGACTTCCTGTCTGTCATAGACCCTGGGGACAGTTATGAAGATCCAAGGGAGTAGGCTGTCCTTACTAGATATGCTAGACCCAGGCTCTGAATTAGGTTCAGTCATGTGATCCTGATGGAGGAGACCCACAGTCATGTTTGAGAAAGGCCAGTGTAACATTTATCAGGAAAATACTTTGATTTGCTGAGATCTCCTTTCTTTGCATAGAAAGGAGAAATGACTTGCTGGGCGTGGTGGCGCACGCCTTTAATCCCAGCACTTGGGAGGCAGAGGCAGGCGGATCTCTGTGAGTTCAAGGCCAGCCTGGTCTACATAGTGAGTTCCAGGATAGCTGGGCTACAGGGAGATCCTGTCTCAAAAAGACAAAACAAAAGCAGGCGGAATGACAAGGCTGGGTGTGCCAGGGGGTGTGAATACCAGCTCTGGGCTTACACCAAATCCGACCTTGGTCCCTCCCTGATGCTATGTAAGGGTTTTGTAGCCTTTTCCCATTTTTCCACCTGTAGAAACGGGGCTAGTTAATGTGAGGTCTTGTGAGGCCAAGGTAGTCCGTGTGAAGGGACAGCCTAGTGACCAGCACTTAGCCAATTCCTGTGCACTTCAGAGTGACCCTCAGAATAGGGCCCCCAAGAAGCCCAGCCTGGACAGGGCTTCCTCCAATAGTTTCAGGTTCCCCATGCAGGACTCTGAAGGGCAGGGGAACAGGTGTCCTCTGGGCCTCCATGGAGTCTAGTGGGTATTATCACATGTCCCCAGCAGGTGGCAGGGCAGCACTTGAAGAAGGGCCTCCACAAAGTTCTGGGGACAGTGCTGGGCTCAGGTACTGCCCTTGCCCTAAGAGAGCTGGCTCTGCACCATGTGCTGTGCCATGTTCCTGGAGCGAAGCTTCTATGACCCCTGGCCCTGCCTGGCTTAGCCTCATTAATGTCCCAAAGTCTGTGTTCTGTCCAGCTCCTCTGCCACTCTGGGCCCCAGAACCCTGTCATTCCTTGCAGCCAGCACTCCTCCCCTCCTCCCAACCCCCAATTGCCTGAACAAGGCCATGATCTAAAGTTCAGATTGTTCCCTGTCATCTTGGCTTGAGGCCCCCACTATCCCCATTGCTTAGAAGCTTTATAGCTCACCCGGCTGGCTACAGCACCATCCTTCCCAGGGAGCTTTCTTGTCCCTGGTCCATGTTGCTGCTTCTCCTTGGGTCTTTAACAGACCTGATGTGCCCAGTCATAACAGTCTTTGCCCTATCCTACAGTGACCTGGTCACATGCCCTATCCCTCAGCTGTGAGGTACATGGGCCTTTGCTGCCCTGAGTGTACAAGGGACTGCCTGAGTGTACAAGGGACTGCCTGAGTGTACAAGGGACTGCCTGGGTCCCTCCTGGTGTGTAACCTGGACTGACTCTGGCCCTTAGGAGGCAGCATGGCGGGAGCTGCAGGTAGAGCGGGCCCAGCTGCAGGGCCAGCTGCAGAGGGAGCGGGAGGAGCTGCTGGCACGGATGGAGGCCGAGAAGGAAGAGCTGAGTGAGGAGATTGCTACACTGCAGCAGGAGCGGGATGAGGGCCTTCTCCTGGCTGAGACTGAGAAGCAGCAGGTACGTGACTTGTGGCTCACAGGGCTCCTGTTCTGCCGCGGGCCCCACCCAGCTATCCAGCAGCTAGGAGTCTGAGAGTCAGCCAGTTCCCTCCTGAGCCTCAGATTCCTCACCTGCAGGATGGGGGAGTCAGAGGGAGATGTAAAGCATTGTTGGCACATACCTAACACAGTGGCTGGTGACAAGAGGCAAGCTGTCTCACAGTTTTCTGTCCCTTCACTTGCCTACACTGGCCTTGGCATCTGCATGGATGCCTTTGGACTGTGTGCATAGTGCCACAGGTGCCAGCTGACCCTCCCTGAGAATTCCTAACTTTGCCATAAGGTAATGGAGCAGGCCAGACTGCAGTCATCTCCTCTCCTCACCCATGTCACCCTGGACAAGTCATTTTCCCTCTCAGCCAGGGTTTCTTCATCTATAGAATGGGAATCATGAAAACCTTTGTCCCTGGGTAGCTGAGGTGGTGTTAGTCAGGTCTGTAGATCATGTCCACATCTTGCTACTACTTCTGAACCCTGTCAGACTACAGAGGTTGAGCAGGCACCTCTGCCCTGGGTCCACCTGTGGTGCCCCACCATGGCCACTGAACCCAGTGAAAGACTGGGAGAAAGGCCTAGTCACCATACCCCTTCTTCCTTACCTCTGCCCAGGCCTTGTCCCTGAAGGAGTCAGAGAAAACAGCGCTGTCTGAGAAGTTGATGGGGACCCGGCACAGTCTGGCTGCTATCTCTCTGGAGATGGAACGGCAGAAGCGAGATGCCCAGAGCCGGCAGGAGCAGGACCGGGTAGGGCGGGGTGGGCAGCTAGACCTCCATCCAAGGGGGAAAGCCAAGCTTGGCCTAGATGGGCCTGAGTGGAAGGTATGTCCCTATCCCATGGAAATCTCCAGGCTGCAGGGAGGTTCAGTCCTTCCTTCAGGGCACCAGTCTGAGGAAGGTGGTCACCAGCTCTGCCCTAGTAAATTTCTAGTCTTGGGGAGAGGCCAACTTCAAGGGCAGCACTCCCTGGGCACTGAAGGATGACCAAGGCGTGGCAGGCCCCTGGATGGGTTATGTTTCAACCATCAGGGTAGGAGCAGTGGTGCAGAGGGATGGGGCACTTCCCTCTGCCGCAATTGTAAGGAGTCTGTCCATCCCAGAACACCATGAACACCCTGATGTCTGAGTTGCGGGACCTCCGGGCTCAACTGGAGGAGGCTGCTACAGCCCATGCTCAGGAGGTGAAAGTACTTAAGGAGCAGGCAGGGGACCTGGGCAGGCAGCGGGAGTCCTGTGTGCGTGAGGTGAGCTGACATCTCCCTATCAGGTAGAACACTGAGTGTTGCTAAGTGGGAGCTAGAGACTGAGCCTGTGGGTGACTCCTCCCTGCAGTTGAGGACAGACATGGCTAACTTAGGAGATAACAAACATTTTTTATTTTTAAAAATTTTATTATTTTTATTTTATGTGTATATTCGTGTATTGCCTGCATATAGCTAAGTGCACCCGTGTCGTGCAATGCCTGCGGAGATCAGAAGCAGCTGTCAGATCCCCTGGGACTGGAGTTTTGGACTATTGTTAGCTGCCATGTGGGTGCTGGGATTCGAACCTGGGTCTTCTGAAAGAACAACTAGTGTTCTTAACTGCTGAGCCATCTCTCCAGCCCCAGACCACAAACAGTTATTAAGCATTTGTTGTATGCAGGGAAAGCTTAGGGGACTCATCCACTGGACAGTTGTGTTTGAGGATTGTTTCAGGCCCACCCCTGGCTGAGCCCAGTGTGTCTTTTCCCACGTCATAGCTCATGGCCTGGGATGGGAGTCACCCACCACAGAGGAATGAGACAGGCATCCCCTGGGCAGGGAGGAACATGGGTACAAACCCATGCCTGCCAATGCCCCAGCCTCAGGGGCCCTCACCCCATCCTGGACCCACAGGCAGAAGAGCTTCGGACTCAGCTGCGCCTTTTGGAGGACACCCATGATGGGTTGCGGAGGGAGTTGCTGGAAGCCCAGCGCAAGGTTCGGGACAGCCAGGAAGGCTGTGAGACCCAACACCAGGAGGTCAGCGAACTGAGGCGCAGTCTGAGTGAGGGTGCCAAGGAGCGAGAGGCCCTGCGGCGCTCCAACGAGGAGCTGAGGGCTGCTGTGAAGAAGGCTGAGAGTGAGCGCATCAGGTAGAAGATGCAAGGGGTTTTCACCAAGCCCTGTCCTTTAGTGAACCTTGTCCTGGACTTCACTTCACCCTGGGGTTTAGGGAAATTCACAGATGGTGAGTCTCTGGTCCCTAAGCACAGCCTGGCATGAAGGTCATTTTGTTGGCTCTCCTACCTCAGAAAGTAGATAGGTGACAGCAGACAGCTGGGTCACACTCAGACCCACCTGTGTCATTGCCTGGATGCCAAGCCCCTTCCTGGAGTCACTCGTCTTCCTGTCAAAGGCCAGGTCCTATGGACAGCCAAGTAGGTAGACAGTGCTTAGGCTATCTTGGGGTAAGACCAGGCCAGACCCACTGCAGGAATAGCATAGAGCTTTTGGTGTGGAGCTTAGGATGGCTCCAAGACCCAGGTAGCCACTGCCTTCTGCCTTTCCCAGCCTGAAGCTTACCAGTGAGGACAAGGAGCAGAAGCTGGCCCTCTTGGAGGAGGCTCGGGTGGCTGTGGGCAAGGAGGCTGGAGAGCTGAGGGCCATGCTGCAAGAAGTGGAGCGTTCCCGGCTGGAGGCTCGGCGAGAGCTTCAGGAGCTGAGGCGGCAGGTAAGACCCTGGCTTCTGCCCTGGGGCTTATGTATGCCCCTGGACCAGCAGTACCCCTCTCAGGAGCCCAGTTCCCCTGCATGTAAAAGCAGGGCTTGAGCTGCAACGAGCCTCCACCTGACCCAGGCATTCATGGATGGGGTTTGAGGAGTCCTCTGCCCTAAACTTGTGCAAAAGTCTGGGTAAGCCTATGCACTCATGCTCACCTGTCCCCAGGTGTAGGCCTGGCATTCTTGTTCAGTTCTAAAAGATTCTGAGGGGAAAATGAGCAGGTCCATGAACTAGGTTGGGGCTAGTAAATTGTTAAGAACCAAGAGATAGCCAGGCGTGGTGGCATACACCTTTAGCCCCAGCATTTGGGAGGCAGAGGCAGGCAGATCTTTGTGAGTTTGAGGCCAGCCTGGTCTACGTAGTGAGTTCCAGGACAACTGGGGCTACAGGGAGACCTTGTCTCAAAAAGACCAAAAAAAAGATAAAAATTGACACCTGCACCAGCCACAGGACTGATTCCACCCCTCACTACTCACTGTTAAAAGAAAGCAGCCTGGTAGTGCAAGCCTTGTAATCCCAGCTACTTTGGGAGACTGAGGCAGGAGGGTCACAGGTTCAAGGCCTACCTGGGCTACAGGGTCAGTTCAGGGGCAGCCTGGGCAACTTACTGAGACCTTGTTCAGAATAAAAAGTAAAAAACAGGGTTGTAACTCAGTAACTCAGTGGTAGAATGCTTTTTAACGTATGAGACTCTGCATCCAATCCCCAGGACTACTGAGAGAGACAGAGACAGATATGGACCCTGGATGGCATATGAATAAGTATGTTCCAGTAAAACTTGATGGACACTGAAATTTGAATTTCGTATAAGTCTCATATATCAAGAAATACTGTTTTTCTTTTGGTTTTTTTTTTAAACAGTTAAGCTGTTTTCATCTGTTTGAAAATGTAAGGACTGGGGCTGGAGAGATGGCTCAGCGGTTAAGAGCACTGACTGCTCTTGCAGAGGACCTGGTCGATTCCCAGCACCCACATGGCCGCTATGAACTGTCCCTAACTCCAGTTCCAGGGAAATCCAAAGTCCTCTTCTGACCTCCACGGCATTGCATGACATGGGTGCACTCACATACACGCAAGCAATACACTCATACACATCAAATAAAAATAATAAAATATTAGAAAAAATGTAAGGACTGTCCTTGCCAACACCAGGACAGAAGCAGATGGCTGAGCTTGCCTGTGGGCTGTGGCCTGCTGGCCCCTGATTAGACGATCTCCCCACCAATCACCAGCAATCATTGAACAAGCTTCTGCTATATCAGGGCACTGCCTGCATACTGGAAAGTTCAGGTGTCCCCATTCTAGAAGGCCCAAGAATAGGAAGCAGCCTGGATGGCCCTGCTGGAGACATCTCTGATACTCAGAGATGGGTGCTTTGCCTGAAAGTCACATCCTTTCCACCTCCCAGTTCAGCCCTTACCCAGGTCCCTCAAGTCACAACACCCCCAAAGGAACTAACCAGTTACGTACCAGGCTCTTGCTGAGTACCTGTAAGCACAACATGGTCTCCTGTTACTCTTGCTCTAGTACGGTGGGGTCGGTGGGCATCACTCTACTTGCTCATATAAGGAAACATTCTTAGAATACACCTCATGTTCCACTTGCCTGGGATCAAATCCCAGCTTGCTGCTTGTGGGCTGTGTGGTCTTAGGCAAGCTTCTTTCCAACTCTCCAAGCTTGTTTTCTCTTCCATTAAGTAGGGTTTAAACTATATTAATTGAGTTATTATAAATGAATTGCTTAGAGCAGCTGGGCACAGAAAGCATTCTTAACGGTCATCCCTGTAGAGGTAATGGAGACCCCAGGAGCTGTGATCCTGGCTGTGGAAGGCCAGGTTGAAGGAGGATTTGACCGTCCCTCCTGAGGCCTCCCATGACAGGTAGTTGGGAGCCCACAGATTAATTGGCATGAGCCATTTGTGCCAGGTGCCTAGCAAGGCTGAGCTCGATGCCATCAGATGGACTTAGAATATTAAGTGATACCTGAGTTCCTAGGTAAGTGAATTCTGAGAGGCTGCTGGGCCAGGACTTACCTGCCTGCTCTGTCTCACAGATGAAGACACTGGAAAGTGACAATGCCAGGCTGGGCCGGGAGTTGGCAGACCTGCAGGGCCGCCTGGCCCTGGCTGAGCGGGCAGAGAAGGAGAGCCGGCGAGAGGCCCTGGGCTTTCGGCAGAAGCTGCTGAAAGGGGAGGCCAGCCTGGAGGCCTTGCGGCAGGAGGTAACTGAGCAAGTGGCTGGGCTGCCCAGAGGGGGAGGACTCTAGAGCAGGCTACTTTGCCTGTGTCCTCCCTCCAGAGGGAGGCAGGTGGGCCCTATAGTGCTAGTCTTCCTGAGAAATCACTCTGAACTCATTCCTGTTCCCTGCCCCTTGAGACTCTTCCTCAGTTGAAATAATAGTAACAAGCAAAAAAGAACTATGGGCTTAATGTGTGCAGGCACCAAAAGATACAGCCTTGTTTTATTGTCCCTGCAGCCAGCCCATGAAGTAGGTAATGTTAGCCCCCAGCCAGGCTCAGAAAGGTCAGGGCATCTGCCTAGTGTCACACAACCATCCAGGTGTACTGTGTGACTTTGACCTAGTCACTTCATCTCTGTGCTTCAGAGTGTTCATCTAGCTTTCAGGGGAGATAGGAGGGTGCCAACGCAGGTCCTGGCACCCTGGTGGTGCTCATGATGAGAGGCCAGCCCCTTCTCTAATCCAGAGGGTGGCTTTTGTGTCTGTGTTGCACTGTCAGCAATGACGCTTTAGCACATGTCCCTGGTGTGCAAACTTTTAATGTGTGCGCAGTGAGAGACAGTGTAGCCTGGTGGTTGAGAACAGTCCCCAGAAATGGACTGCCTGGCTTTGAATCTCCCTCAATACCTGTGTGTCTTGGACAAGTCACTTGCCTCTGTGGTTGTTTCATTCTTTATTTGTAAAAGATTAAAAATTCGCTGGGCGTGGTGGTGCTCGCCTTTAATCCCAACACTTGGGAGGCAAAGGCAGTCAGATCTCTGAGTTCAAGGCCAGCCTGGTCCACATAGTTCCAGGACAGCTGGGGCTACAGGGAGACCCTGTCTCAAAAAGACCAAAAGAAAGATTAAAAATTTTTATGAGTGTTTTGCCTGCTTGTAAGTGCACCATGTATGACCAATGCCCATGAAGCACGCCCTACAAGGGGGCATTGGATCCCCTGAAACTGGAGTTAAGGCAGTTGTGAGCCACCATGTGGGTCCTCTGCAATAGTGCCTTTAACTGCTGAGCCATCTCTCCAGCCTGAGGCTGACTCTAGAGTAGTTTAAAGTACTTCTTGCCTGGCTCTGAGTCCTATGTATGTGGACGTTAGCTGTCCTTACTACAAGCTGTGCACAGTAAAGCACACAGCAGGAAAAGATAAATTCGAATCCCGCCCTCCTGGGATGTGCTTACTCTCCTCTTTGGGTGGGGACCGCTCACAGGTGTGGTCGCTTGAGGAGCACGGTGGCTGGCTCCGCCTTGTGACTAGTTCTCTTGGCTTCGCCCCCCACCCCAGCTGCAGGGATCCCAGCGGAAGCTGCAGGAGCAGGAGGGCGAGTTCCGGGCCCGTGAGCGAGGCCTGCTGGGCTCCCTGGAGGAGGCGCGCGCCGCCGAGAAGAAGCAGCTGGACGTGGCCCGCAGCCTGGAGCTGAGGCTGGAAGCGGCGAAGGCCGAGGCCGCGGAGCTGGGGCTGCGGCTGAGCGCGGCCGAGGGCCGGGCGCAGGGCCTGGAGGTGGAGCTGGCCCGCGTGGAGGCGCAGCGGCGGGTAGCCGAGGCCCAGCTAGGCGGCCTGCGCTCCGCCCTGCGCCGGGGCCTGGGCCTGGGCCGCGCGCCCAGCTCGCCAGCGCTGGACGCTGGAGGTGAGCCAGGGGCGAGTGGCAGCTCTGAAGCCACGCCCGGTCCGACTGCCACGCCTTCCAGACCACGCCCCTTCGCCGATCCTCTACCCCTGGGTAGCTCTGTTAGGAGGGAAGAGTCTTAACCCAACCTTTTTTTTTTTTTTTTTTTGGTCTTCTTGAGACAGGGTCTCCTGTAGCCCTCTTTGGCCTGGAACTCACTATTGAGACCAGGCTGGCCTTTAACTTACAGAGATCCTCCTGCCTCGGCCTTCCAAGGGCTGGGATTAAAGGCGTGGGCTAGCATGCCCGGGGGTTTTTCTGAGGATCTTCTTCATTGATCTCTGCCTTCTCTCCAGTTTAGCATCTCCCTCCAAACCAGGCCCGGGATCCTGAAGTGTCCCCCCTGCTAGGCACAGCGAGACCAGACCCCCTTCCAGAATCACCTTGGTCCATTCAGTCAGTCAATACTAAGTACCTAGTGTGTGTCAAGCACAGCATAAGCACTGGGGATGGAGCCAGAAACAAACTGACAAACAGGCTCCTTAGGAGGTTGAGTCTAGAGGTGTAAATAGCTATATAAAGGAAATATAGAGTGTTGGGCTGTGATCTGGGTACAGTTAAGTGTGGTCTGGAAACAGTAGGTAGGGTCAGGCAAGGGAGACTGCTGATTGTGGGGAATAGCAGTTCCTCAAGGAGCTGGAAATATATCTGTTAATGCAGTGAGACCAGCACATCCGCTCCTAGTTGTGCACCTGGAAGAACTGAAAGCAGGCAGGTGAACAGGTACGTGTGCAACAGTTGGTTGCAGCATCAGTCACAGTAGCCAAAAGGCAGTGATACCCAAAATATCCAACAACAGATGGAGAAGCAAAATGTAGTATATCCATCTCTCAGTATATCCATCCCTTGGCATATCCATCCCTCGGAGTAGTGTTCAGCCTTAAAAAGGAATGACATCTTATACTTGCCACAGAGTAAATAACTCTGAAAGCACTGCACATTGAAATAAGGCATCACAGAGGACAAACAGCATGAATCCACTCATGCAAAATACTTTGAACAGCCAGTCACAGAATCAGCAGTAGGTTAAAGGTTACTGAGATCTGGAGGGGCACCAATCTTCTGCTTTGAAGTCAGTTCCTGTCTAGTTGTCTTAGTTGGCCAGCACTGCTCTAGCAAGGAACTGTGAACCCTCAGTAGTCATGAGAGTCCCAGGCTCTTTGCCCTTCAAAATCTATAGATGCCTATGACTTCTTTGTGAAGTTTCTGTGTGATGTATAATCTGTGCATGTCCACCTAGATACTGTGGAACACTTGCACTATGTAATACAGTATACATGCTTGTAAATCATCCTGTTTAAAGAGTAAGGGGAAGCACCACGCCTTTAGTCCCAGCACTTAGGAGGCAGAGGCAGAGCAATCTCTGTGAGTTCAAGGCCAGCCTGATCTACATAGTGAGTTCCAGGACAGCTGGGGCTACAGGGAGACCCTGTCTCAAAAAGACCAAAAATTAAAAAAATAAGAGTAAGCAGGAAAAAAGCCTGTAACATTCTCAGTGCAGGTCTAGTGTACCCCGGAAACTTTGTGTTTCATTTCTGTTTTCAAAAAATTATTTTATGTGCCTGCATACATGTAAGGGCATCCATGTCATGCAGTGCACACAGAAGACAGAAGAGGGTGTTGAATCCCCTGGAACTGGAGTTACAGATAGTTGTTAGCTGCCATGTGGGTGCTGGGAACTGAATCTGGGTCCTCTGCAGGAGCAGCCAGTGCTCTTAACCACTGAGCCATTTCTCCACCCCTCATTTCTGTTTTTGAGACAGGGTCTTAGGCTATCCTGGAACTTCACTGTGTAGCCTAAACTGGCCTTGAACTCATGAGTCTTCCTGACTCAGCCTCCCAAATGCTGGGATTATAGGCATGTGCCACCATGCCTGGCTGTTTTTGTATATTTTCTATACCTAGTTGGTTAAATCTGATGGAACCCTTGGGGACAAAGGGCCAACTATCCTAGACTCAGTGGTTTAGCTAGCAGAAACTTGTGTCCGACTGTCTCACACTAGAGGTCAGAGGTCCATGTCGTCTTTGAAGGTACTGGGTGAGGTATGGACATGATAATACAACTCTAGTGGTCACATGGCATCCTTTTTGGCTTTTGGGGTGTTTTTTGTTTTTTTTTTTTTTTGTCTTTTTTTTTGAGACAGGGACTCTTTGTAGCCCCAGCTGTCCTAGAACTCACTATGTAGACCAGGCTGGCCTTGAACTCACAAAGATCTACCTGCCTCTGCCTCCCAAGTGCTGGGATTAAAGGCGTGTGCCACCACGCCTGGCCTGTGGCATCCTTTTTGTAAGGACAACAATCATGGGACTGGGGTCTACCCATTCCGGTGTGACCTTATCTTAGTCAACCCCATCTCCAGCCATCTATTTCCAAAATGAAGTCATATTCTGAGGTACTGGGGACTAACACTTCAGCATGGGGGGGACAGTTCTGGGGAGATACACAGGTGATGGAAAAGATTTGAGGCGATGGGTGCACAATGGCGTGAATGTAATTCATGCCTCCAGTTTGTACCCTTAACAATGGCTAAGGTGGGCTGGGGATGTCGCTTACTTGGTAGACTGCTTGTCTACCATGCACAAAGGCCTGAATTTGATCTCCAGCACCAAATAAAATTGGGTGTGGTGGTGCACACCTATAATTCCAGCACTTAGGAGACTGAGGCAGGAAGATTGTGAATCAGGTCCAGCCTGGTCTACATAGTGAGACCATGCATCAAAAGGGAGGGTGGGTAGTGGTGGAGCTTAGTGGTAGGGTGCTTGCCTAGCCCTGGAGGGCCTAGCATTCCTAAGGCTCTGGGCTCACCTGCAGTACCAGAACAAACCAAAAAAGACTAAAGTAGCACATTTCAAAATCCATGTGTTTTTTCAGAGAGAGAGAAAAAATATAAACACAAGGAAGGTGGGGCTGATGTGGGGCCAGTGCCTCACAGGTGTGGTATGGAGGGAAGGTAAGTACCCCATCCTATGACCAGTAGGGGTGACAGCAGATCAGGGCAGTTGGCAAGGAGGTGAGGGGATGGAGACCATTGGGCCTGCTTCAGTAACCCTAGCAGGCCACTAAGGGGTGCTGGGTCTTTACTCCAGGGGTTGGAACTAACAGCAGTGGAGGCTTCCAGGGTGGAGTGGAGGCCCCACTGGGGGAGCCTTTGGGTGGTAATACCTATACTGGGCACTTCAGGGATTCCTTGGCTGAGCCTGGAGGATGCTAATGACAAGCCCCCCATCCTGCAGTTCCAATGTTGACCGTTAGGGGGCTCTGCTCTCTGTCGTGCTCCCTGTCCTCTCCTTGTGGGCTCATCCTCCTTCTCCCAAACAGTGGGCAGGGCTTTTCTCTGGTAAACCAGCCCGCTCAGGTTCAGATTCTGGCTCTGAAACTTGGCAACTCTGAGGCCCTACAAGCCACTTAACTGCCCTGAACCCACTTTGCTTGTGAAGGGCAGATTGGCTGTTGGGTGTCAGGGTATTCCTAAGCGAGGATGAACCAAGGCAAGGCCTTGATGCAGCAGGCACTTGGCTCAGAGAGCTGGGGCTGATGGCATGTCTGCTGTGGCATGGGCCCTAGGGAAATGGGAGCAGGAAAGAGGTAGCCCTAGTCTTTATAGTGTGCATGGTTAAAGTGGGGACAAGATACCAGACACACCCACGAGGGTGGGATGGACTGACCCCAACTCATCCTGGCTTCAGGGAGGCCCTGGGAAGCAGCCTGACCAAGGGACTGGGCACAGAGAAGCCAGCATGAAGAGATAGCAGCATGTGCAGAGGCCCTGGGACTGGAACAGGGAACATCTTAGAACAAGGGACAGGCAGAGTGGCTAGTTTGTGCAGAGTGAGAGGGAGATGCTGGGGAGGGCAGCAGGGCTGCAAGGCTATTATACAGAAGTTGAGCTTGATTGTGCGGGCTATGAAGGGTTTGGGGCAAGGTTTGCTGGGCCACTTTGTGCTTGAGAAGCTCATGCATTGATGGGTACAGTAATGTGCATGATGCCTTAGGAGCCCACAGTCCCCACCCATGTCCTTGAGCATGTCTTCCCCTCCAGGAAGCGGGGATGGTCTCAGCAGCCCCAGTTCCTTGGAACGCAACCCTCGGTCTCAGCCATCATCCCCAGGGACTGCTACCTTCCCAGCACCTGCAGACCTGGATCCCGAGGCAGTGCGAGAGGCCCTCCGAGACTTCCTACAGGAGCTGCGGAGTGCCCAGCGGGAGCGGGTGAGGCTGGTGCAGGTGGCTGGATGGGCCCAAGACCTTGGAAAAATGAATCTCCAGGTTGTCAAAGCTGGGGTTTTTCCTTCTCTCCCGTATCGGGGATGCAGGATGAACTTCGGACCCAGACCAGCACCCTGAGTCGACAGCTGACCGAAGTGGAGGCAGAGAGGGACAGTGCGACCTCAAGGGCCAGACAGCTGCAGAAGGCAGTGGCTGAGAGCGAGGAAGGTTAGTCTGCCCTACCTTGGGGCCCCTATATTCTCTTGTGCTCCTAGCAGCTGAGGTGGGAGGCTGGGGGACTGACTCCAGTGGCTCTTATGTCCTGTCTTGGCCTATGGCCTGACTTGGGGCTGATTCTTCCAGGAACCCCCCCCCCATCCCAGTGTAACTGCAACATATCCAGACCTACAGAACCCTTGGGGTCCAGGTGGGCCCTGGAGAGAGTGGGGTGCAAGTTGGGCCTCTGTGGCCTGATGCAGGGGCCAGGCTTGGCATGCCTGATGGGACTGGGTGGTGATCACAGCTCGGCGCAGTGTAGACGGGCGGCTGAGTGGGGCCCAGGCGGAACTGGCACTGCAGGAGGAGAGTGTGCGGCGCAGCAAGCGGGAGTGCAGGGCCACGCTGGACCAGATGGCTGTGCTGGAGAGGAGCCTGCAGGCCACTGAGAGTGAACTCCGGGCCAGTCAGGTGGGTAGGAGGTGAGGGCCTATGGGATGGAGCCCTGTGCACCAGAAGGGATGTGGAAGGCCCCTGGGTTCTCTGTGGCCCTCTACCTGAGTCTCAGTGCTCTTTCCACGGAGCAGTTCAAGTCCACTGTTGTATGTTCAGTGTGCTCTAGGAAGAAGGACTTGGGCCTGAGCTGGACAGAGGGGACTTAGGTTTGGCCTGCAACAGACTGCTGCCCCACTGTCACCTTCATCTTAATGGGGGTGGGCACCGGTAACCACTGCACAAACAGAATGCATAAGCTCCTGGCACAGGAGGCCAGGGCCTCTGTCTCCGAATCACCATGCAAATGGTGGCCCAGGTCTTGGTTGTAACAGTCCTGCCTCACAGCTGGAGCCCCCTGCCCGCTCACCCCTGCAGCCCTGCCTCCATCTTTGGCCAGGGCCAAGCTGGAGCTGGATTGTTGTGTCTGCGGCTTCAGTTCTGGCTTTGGGCCCAGCAGCCCCTGGGGCCTGGGAGGAGGCCAGGAACAAAGCTGGGTGGGAGCCAGAGTGGGGGCCCCCTCTTCCCCACAGGCCAGACAGGGCCAGGAGGAGCTCAGAGTAGGAAAGAGGGAGGAGGCTGCAGTGACACCCAGGACCCACCAAGTCTGAACTCATGTGGGTTGCAGGACCCTTTTGTCCTGTCCTTTTTCTACTCTTTAAGCCCCTTCACTGTCTGACTCTTGAGCAGGGATTGAAGGAAACCCATTCCCTGAGGCCCTAGAGCAGCACCCCTCCCCTTGGCAGTGGTGTTCTCACCAGGCTCAGCTTGCATTTCATATGCAGCTTCCAGCTGTTCTGGAAGGCACTTCTGTAGAGCGAGGAGGGTCTCGCAATGTGTGTTCTACAGCCTAGCACCTGGGCTGTGCTACCTAAGGACCAGGCCTGCTCTGCAGACTTGAAGCAGAGCCAGAGTGAGAATGATTGTCCTGATTCATGGAACCCATTAGATTCAACCCAAACCAGACAATTGCCTGGGATCCTTACATCTGCTCAGCCTGTAACAAATGGGGAAACTGAGGCCCCAGCAGTCACAAGCTCATCCCAGGTCACAAAGTGGGAGGCTGCCTTCCCACTTTGTCTTCAGAGTTCAGTGGAGTGTGGGGAGGGTGTGCACTGGGGCTGAACCTCCCCACCTGCAGGAGAAGATCAGCAAGATGAAGGCCACCGAGGTGAAGCTGGAGAGTGACAAGCGGCGGCTAAAGGAGGTGCTGGATGCCTCCGAGAGCCGCTCCATCAAGCTGGAGCTACAGCGGCGTGCTCTGGAGGGCGAGCTACAGCGCAGCCGCCTGGGCCTCAGTGACCGTGAGGCCCACGCCCAGGCCCTCCAGGATCGGGTGGATTCCCTGCAGAGACAGGTGGGGCCCCTCCCAGTCCCAGCCTTGACACCTACATGCCCTATGCCTGGCCTTGCAGGGCATTGTGCAGCTCCCAACCCTGCAAGGCAGTCTTCATCATCCATGTTTCATAGATGGACAGGTAGAGGCCCAGAGGTCTGATCGCCTTGCCCATCACAGCCATTCTGTTAGGGCTCTGGACAGGGGTAGTTAACCAGCGGTGGGGTGCGCCAGGCTGTGGGAGTGCATGGGGACAGGGAGTACGGATGAGGCTCAGAGAGGTGGGAAGAGCATGGGTGGGTGGTCCTGGTGGAGGTTACACAGAAAGGAAGCCCTGACTATCCTGTTGTCCTCCTACCAGGTGGCAGACAGTGAGGTAAAGGCGGGGACCTTGCAGCTAACAGTGGAACGGCTAACTGGGGTGCTGACCAAGGTAGAGGAGAGTGAGGGGGTCCTGCGAAGCAAGGTGCAGAACCTGACAGATGCCCTGGCCCAGAGCAACACCAGCCTCTCCAGCACCCAGGACAAGAATCTGCACCTGCAGAAGGCCTTGACTGCCTGTGAACATGACCGCCAAGTGCTCCAGGTCTGGGGGTCCTAGCATCTGGCTGGGGAGGATCCAGTGAGAGTGAGCAAGTAAGACGGGATTTGGAAGGACCTGGGAGAGAGTTAGCCAGCGGGGCTGTCAGGAATTCTAAGGAACCGATGAGAGCAGGCCTTAAGGTAGGAACGGGCCAGTGAACAACAGCCAATTATGACACCTGGGCAGGAGTGCTGCCCAAAGAGAAGGAACCTTCTAGTAGGAACCCAGGCTTGGTTGTGTGAATGGCTGTCATCATAAACAAAAGTCAGAGGACATGACTGGCCACAGGCTGGTCAGTGCTTCACCTTCTGGGTGGTAGGATGTGAACCTACCTAGGAGTTCATAGAGGGCAGCTTTTGGCTCACAAACTGGCCAGGCAAACTGGCCTGGTACCATCAGCCCCTGTCCCCAGGAACGGCTGGACGCTGCCCGGCAGGCGTTATCTGAAGCTCGGAGGCAGAGCAGCTCCCTAGGTGAGCAGGTGCAGACGTTGCGGGGAGAGCTGGCTGACCTGGAGCTGCAGCGGGGTGAGGCTGAGGGCCAGCTACAGCAGTTGCAGCAGGTGAGGCCTGGAGGGCCTCTGTCTATAGGGGCACCCTGTGTGGCCCTTGGCATGGGATAGGAGCCCTCCACCCATCTCAACCTCATCCCAAAACTTGGCCCAGCCTCCTGGGAAGATCCATGGTTCATCCAGCCAGTATTCCCAGTATACAGACAGAGAAACTGAGGCTCAAAGAGAACAGTTTAGCCTCAAGTGACAGTTTTCTCATGTGGACCTCATAGTTGCCTGCCACGAGTGGGCACAGTGGGCCAGCGTTACTGTCCTCATGTTCAGATGGTCACTTGAGGTGCAGAGGGATGAGAGACTGTTGGCCTGTGCTGCAGGTGCTGCGACAGCGGCAGGAAGGCGAGGCCACGGCTCTGCGCACAGTCCAGAAGCTGCAGGAGGAGCGGCGGCTGCTGCAGGAGCGCCTGGGTAGCCTGCAGCGCTCCCTGGCTCAGCTGGAAGCTGAGAAGCGTGAGGTGGAACGCTCGGCCCTGCGACTGGGCAAGGACCGTGTGGCCCTCAGGAGGACGCTGGACAAGGTGACCTGCTCTGACTGGGCCTCCCTTGGTTCCCCTGTCCCTTCTGTGCCACCGCTACTGGTGTCAGAGCACCCTGGGGGGAGGTGGATTCGGGGCTGTAGTCCTGTCTGAGCTGCTGTGAGTCCCTTCCCCTCCAATGCTCCTACCCAGGTGGAGCGGGAGAAGCTTCGCAGCCACGAGGACACGCTGCGGTTGAATGCCGAGAAGGGCCGCCTGGACCGCACACTCTCTGGCGCTGAATTGGAGCTGGCTGAGGCTCAGCGGCAGATCCAGCAGTTGGAGGTCTGGCCCCTGCCACCTGGTTCCTGGTGCCATTTCCACTGTGAGCCCAAGTGGTCCCCGGGGTTCCCAGAGCTCAGAACCCCAAGGAGGGTGTCCTCACTGGGCTGTGGAGCAGGGGTTCTCCCATGGTGGAGAAAGACAACACTGAGGCCTGTTAGCATGCAAGCCTGGGATTCCTGTGTGCTGTGGACATGTGGGGTGAGGGTGAGTGAGTGTCCCTGGGAGCTTGCTCAGATGAACAGCATGACCTTCATGTAGCGTGTGACCTTGTGTCTGTGTAGATGTTTTCCTATAGATGCGAGGCTCATGTGCTTTTGCATCCACTGTAAACACAGGTAAGTGCTTGTGTTGTTCCTGAGTATATGGGCCAGCCACTGTGTTTAAGTGTCGTGAGTGGAGGTCACTAGGGACCCTGAACCCAGATTCCCAGGCTCACTGTCAGGGCCAGTGAGGTGAAGGACAGGCCTGTGCCGCTGTGTACACTGGGTTAGAACCCTCAGTAGCAGTCCCTGTCTGTAGGCCCAGGTGGTAGCCCTGGAGCAGAACCACAGTGCAGCCCGGCCGGAGGCAGACGAGCAACAACTAGAGATGCAGCAGGAAGTGGAGCGCCTGCACAGTGCCCAGGTGCAGACAGAATGCACCCTGGAGGCTCGGGAGCGGGCCCACCACCAGCGGGTACTAGGGCTGGGGGAACAGGTACAGGAGCCTTCCTTGGGGAACCATGGAGCCAGGGAGGAGGTGTAGGGCCAGACTTCATGTGACTTCTGTAACTTGAAAAGGGCCAGGTGGATCAATGCTGGTACCAGCCATGGCTGGACCAGGGGCTGGAGTGCTGCAACTGGATCTCAGCCCTGCAGGCCTCACTCTGCTCCAGGCCATCAGACCCCATCTTGTGTGGGATAGCTTTCTCAGCAGCTCCAGCTGCAGGCTCTCCCAGCAACCTGGGGAGAGAGGGAGCTTTTTCCCAGGATCACTGGTGAGAGCTCCAGGAATGGCTCTCATTGACCAGTGAGGTCACATATGCCCCTTCCTGGTTGTGTCTGGAGCAGGTGAGTCTGCAGGGCTCAGCTGCTCTGATAGGCCCAGCCTGGTCACACAAACACTCCTACAATGGACTAGAGTCAGGTGTACTCAAATGATGAGGGTGGTAAGAACACCAAAGTAGTCAGACAGCTGGCCCTGCCATAAGGAGTAAAGTGTGAGGGGAGACCACAGGGCCCTGAGGCACCAGCCTCTTTCTGTAGCAGGTGGCATGCCATTCCTTCATCAGCTCCCTCCTCTCTGGGCTGCCTTGCCCTCTTCAGGTGTCCACGCCGAAGGGACAGTTGCAGCAAGAGCTCCGCAGGACCTCGGCACCCTTCTCCCCCGCCTCTGGCACCTCAGAGAAATGAGTCCCCTGAATTCAGCATCCTGAGCACAGCCATTGAAGCAGGAGAGGGAGGCTCTTTGCAGCACAGACTGCTCAGGGTCTGGCATCAGGATGGGATGAGGGATGGGGCAGAGCTGAAGGATGGATTCCAGCTCTGGGCTCCACCCACAGTGGCTTCACATTGCACCCCTCCCCTCAAACCTCTCCAGGCCACTCTCCTGGGAAGAGCCACCCAATTGCACAATGTTCTCCTGAGTGGCTGAGCCAGGGGTCAGGAGAGCCATTGTCTCTGGCCAGCACCCAAGTGGAGCTCCTAGGAAGAGGCCCAGGTCCAGCCTATTAAGGAGCTCTCTGCCTTAGTTCACTGTTGTCAGGAAGCTCCTCAGCGAGCTTAGAGCCCTTGTATTTTTGTACCTTTTTATCATGTGAACTGTGGATGGCTGTTGTGCTCTTTGTAACATGATGTTTTCTAGAATGGTCTGCACCATTTCTGTACCAATAGCATGCTTCTTCCACCTGGGAGGACCAGGGAAAGAGATGGGTGGGACCCTCTTGGAGTTGCTGGGGGCACCAGAGGCAGGGGCTTACATTGGTTGAGTTTAGCCACCTCACGGGGTGTGATAGGGCCCTCTCCATTCAGCACAGGATAGGATCTGCCTCTGCAGTGCCAGGGCTCATAGATACCTGGGTAACAAAGCAGGCCTGGGAATGGGCATGGGGTCTTGCCCTGGCTCTGCAGAGTGATGCTGGGCAGAGCTGCTTCATGTGGCAGAGCCTCTGTGTGAAGTGGGAACTGGCTTCCTGGTGTGGTGACAGAAAGGCTCACACAGGGTGCTGTGTCTCCAAGACCACCCATTCCCCTTTGCCAGAGTCCCACAGCCAGGCCATGCCCATGTCCCTGTGGGTGGTCACTTAATGCTGTTTGTCATTTAGGGATAGTCACTGGAGCTACTACATAGGCCTGTCAGGAGGGCTCATCAGAACTGTGAAGAGTGCTGCCCAAGACCCTGTGCTCCCTCAGAGGAGTCAAAATGGCTTGCTTGCTTCTGCCCTCATGGTACCAGCATCCTTTCTGGAAAGCCCCTGGTCTCAGGTCTACCTACCTTGACCTGCCTCATCTCTGCCTTCACCCAGCCACATATACTTCCCTGATGCTTCGTCACATCCCTCTGATGACCGACTCTGGCCCTCATCAGACAGCACCAACTATGACAGAACCTTCTATTTTCCACACTACCCCACACCATGCACATGAAGAGATGTGTTCTAGGAGGGTATAGATTCCAAGGCTCCTTCCTCTGGGTGGGTCCAGATGAAGCTGGGGGCTGGAGGAGGCAGAGCTGGGACACAGAAGCAGAGCCACCAGCCACCCTAACATGCCCTTCCTGCTAAGGGGCTGGTGAGCCTTTTGTTAACAGTTCAGTGTTGGAAGTACTCAGTTGTCACCTCTGTGCCTGGACCCAAAAGTGACTCTGGATCTTCTGTAAAAACTTTAATTTTGTATAAAACAAAGGTGGTCCATGCCTGGGGGCTGTAGGAAATCCAAGCAGACCAGCTAGGGGGAGGGACACAGCCTACCTGAGGGGACTGAAGGGGGACTGTCCTCAGAAGCACTGAGAAGGCACATTGGGTGGCCCCAAACCTCACAAAGAGGACTCAGATGAACCCCATCCAGGGGGCAGAAACTGGGCAGTCAGGAGCCCTACTGCTCAGGGGTGACCACAGGCTTGGGAGGGACCCAAGGCAGCTTTGGCCATGCCCCCCGCCCACTGGACTGTTCAGGATGAAAGGGAGGGCCAGGATTGGAGGAAGCACCAGGTCAGGCAGGGCCTGAGGCAGATCCGAGCAGAGTCCAGGGCCCGGATCCCACTCCAGCTCCACCCTAGCAGCCCCCGCAGCTCCGGGCGCAGGAAGCAGCCACAGATTGGCACAGGCCACTGACAGCCATCACACCACATTTGGAGAACCTGTCCCGGCACAGGTCAGCTGTCGGGGAAAGGCCAGGTCACGGTGGGAAGGGTGTTGGAACCCATGACCCCATACTAGTGAAAATATGGGAAGGGAGCTTAGGGCATCCTGCAGTGGGCCTGGCATGCACTCCCTACTGAATGTAACAGGCCAGAGCATGACTGGGTAACAAAATGGTGGGGGTGGCTGCTGTGCAGGGGTATGGAAGTTACCCTACCTCGGAGGAGCTCCTCATGAGCACAGACTGTGCGGACACAGATCTCCTTGTTGACAACATACACCCGGCGGAGGCTGGGGGGACGAGCCAGTGATGCGCTCAGCCCCACCCTCACCCACCCCCACTGGGAGAGCCCAGGCTGAACCTGGCCACCTGGGAATCCAGGCCTAGGCTCACCCTCAGAGTTGAATTCCACTTTGGGATTCACTGCCTGTCTCCTGCCTTGGTTGCCGGGAGCCATCCCTCACACCCCTCCCTCATCATGTGCTCACCTGTAGAAGCAGACCTCATTGAGACACTGTTTGCAGGGCTTGTGGATGGAGTAGAGGCGGGTGCAGGGGTACTGTTCCTCACGGCAGTCTGGGGGACAGTCCGGATCAGACTAGAGGCTCAGAGCTGACGTGGCAGGCTCACAAGGTCTGAGTCCCCCTGTACCCACAGGCCCTGCCCAAATACCCACACACACCCAGTACCTAGGTATACTGCTGGGCCTTCCAGGACTGCCCACCAGACAAATGTAAATTCACAAGAAGCATAAATCCAAACACGTATGTTCAAACAGATTCATGCCCACCCCACTTGGTCACTGACATTCACACTCACAACTCTGTAGCCCACTCAGTGTACACAACGCCAGGTTCTCTCAGGCTTTTGACTGGGTGGCTAGCCTGGGCTCCCTCGCCCTTCACCTGGCCCCAGGCACCACACCTCTGGCTTGCAGGAAGTGCCAGTGCAGCCCTGGTCCCTCCTAGGCTCTGGTCAGCCCTTTGGGGTGTGTGGGTAGGTGAAGATGGAGGGCCAGGGGGGTAGGATATCTCAGCTGCCCAGAGGCTTGTCTGACAGCTCCCTCTTCCCCAGCACTGGAGTACACTGCTTAACCTCACTGCAGATCTGACCACATGGCCCCCCCTTTCTTGAGCCCTGCCTGCTTTCTCCAGCTGTGTGCGTGTGTGTGGCGGGGGGGTTCTCACCAAGAGGCCCAGGCTCTGTGGGCTCCGTCTCCATGTTCCCTGGAGCAGGCAATTCTGGTTTCAAGATAGACAGGCAGGGGTCACTGGGAAGGGTCTATTCAAGGCAAGGGGCACCACTCAGCCCTGGCCCAGATCCCCCTTCCGGGCTGTATTAGGAGCTGGAGTGAGGGAAGCAGCCCTTGGGCCTACCTGGGGTTGGGGCTGGAATGACCTCCTGTGGGACTCGCTGCTGGGACTGGAACTGGAACTGCTCCTCAGGGGGCCGGGGACTCACCTCTACGTGAGGGGGTAGGTGACATGACATGCTCCTTCCTTCCCCTAGGGCCCCCACCACAGCCCCTTCCATCTACCCCAGCTTTTTACCTTGGTAATCATAGTAGTCTTGACTGTCTGAAAACGAAAAGGCCATGGAATGGATGGAGTCAGGCTAGCCCCTGGCCCCACAGGGCAAAGAGGTCACAAAGAAGCCAGAAACCCGCCCCTGGGGTTCCTACTGACCCACCCCACTGGGTCCCTGGCTAAGCCATGCACACACATGGGGAGGCAGGCCTTGACATAGCAGTGGCTGAGGAGCATTGGGAGAGGCTCATCTCTTACCAATCTGATCGCCGTACTGGGTGTACTGGACATGGTCTGGGAATGGGGGCAGAGGATCCAGGTCATATTGGCCTTGGGCTAGCAGACCTGCTGAGGGGAGGCAGCCACATGTGGACATCCCACAGGGAAGGACAAACAGGGTAGTGGTGGTCATGAGCCCAGGACCATACAGCCTGACTCTGATTCCAGGATCCCAACTCTTTCCTGGTCCTGTGCCACCTCCGTGACCCTGCCCTGTGCTGTTCCTCTGTCCTAGGCTGCCTCATGGCTACTCCTGGGACTCCACAGACTCCTGCCTGCCTTAGGGCCTTTGCACTTGACTCTCCCCAGGCCTTCTCGTCTCTAACGTTTCAGTTCTGCGACGCCATCCTTGGCCCACCTGCTCTTCTGTTTATTTCCATCATAGCACTCAGCACAACCTGAAATCTTTCAAATCTGCCTGTCTGGTATTTGCCTTTCTCCCCTAGTCTCGCAGCAGCATGGTAAGGACTGGGTTTGTACACTGGGTTTGTTCGTGGCTAGTGCCTGGCCCACAGTAGGATGTCAACACATACCTCGCTGAATGACTGGGTAAGTGACTCATAAGCCTGGTAGAGCTTTTTTGGTCCTCACTGATAACTCCTTATTTGATGGATAAGGACCCATCAAAGGTCAAGACTGCAGAGTAGTGGAGTTCCCCCCACCCCCCAATAGGTCTACAGCTCAGGTTCCTGGACTCCCTGCCTTCAGCCTCCAGAGTGTGGTCCAGGCATGAGGCAGAACCTGGGAGATGGGCAGCAGAATTCTGTCCATGAGGCTCATAAATGGGGAGCCCCCCCCGAGCTGTTGCTTACCAGGCAGGAACAGCAGGAAGACACAGGCAGCTCTCATGGCCACAGAGTGAGGAGGCTGTGGTGGTGCTGAAGACAGCTAGGGAGGAGAGGAGAGAGGACAGGAGAGCTGTGTGCTAGCCTGCCAGCCCAGGATGGCAGAACTCATTCCTGTTCCTGAGCTCAGCCTGGCCAAGGGGCACCAAGAACAGATTCAGGCACCTAGAGACAGGGCTTGGGGCGGGGACCTAGGAAGAGGAGGGGTTAGGCCTCCAACAAGGTGGGTACCAGAGCTGATTTTTTTTTTTTTTTTTGGAGACATGGTCTTCCTATAGTTCCAACTGTCCTGGAACTCACTGTGTAGATCAGGCTGGCCTTGAACTCATAGAGATCTGCCTGCCTCTGCTCCCAAGTGCTAGGATTAAAGGCATGCACCACTATGCCTGGCATCAGGGCTGATTTCTTTCTTTTTTCTGTCTTTTTGAGACAGGGTCTTCTTAGAGCCCCAGCTGGCCTGGAACTCACTGTGTAGATCAGGCTGGCCTTGAACTCATAGAGATCTGCCTGCCTCTGCCTCCCAAGTGCTGGGATTAAAGGTGTGCGCCACCACGCCCTGCACAGGGCTGATTTTTTTCTTTTTTTTTTTTTGAGACAGTCCTCCTATAGCTCCAGCTAGCCTGAAACTTGTTATTGTAGCCCAGGCTGGCCTCAATCTCACAGAGATCCCCCAGCCTCTGCCTCCCAGGTGCTGGGATTAAAGTGTGCCATCATGCCTGGTGATTTTTTTTTTTTTTTTTTGGAGACAATGCCTCATGAAGACCAGGCTTGTCTTAACCTGAGGATGACCTTGACAAATGGACAGGATCATATACACACACACACACACTTCTTAAGGGAATATTTAAAAAATTTTTAAATTTTATTATTTTTATTTTATGTGTATGTGTGTATTGCCTGCATGTAGGTTAAGTGCACCCATGTCCTGCAATGCCCTTAGAGGTCAGAAGAGGCTGTGGGATCCCTTGGGACTGGAGTTACTGACAGTTGTTAGCTGCCATGTGGGTGCTGGGATTCAAACCTGGGCCTTCTGTAAGAACAACTAGTGTTCTTAACCGCTGAGCCATCTCTCCAGCCCCTTAAGGGAACTTTTTTTTTTTTTTCTTTTGGTCTTTTTGAGACAGGGTCTCCCTGTAGCCCCAGCTGTCCTGGAACTCACTATGTAGACCAGGCTGGCCTTGAACTCAGAAATCTGCCTGCCTCTGCCTCCCGAGTGCTGGGATTATAGGTGTGCGCCACCATGCCCGGCTGGGAACATTTTTTAAAAAATATTTTATTAATTTTATGTGTATGGATGTATTGCCTGCATGTATGTGAGTGCACCTGTGTCATGCAGTGCTGTGGAGGTCAGAAGAGGGCTTCAGATTCCCCTGGAACTGGAGTTAAGGATGGTTCGTAGCTGCCATGTGGGTGCTGGGAATTGAACCCAGGTCCTCTGCAAGAGCAGTCAGTACTCTTAACCGCTGAGCCATCTCTCCAGCCCCAAGGGAACATTTTTATAGCCCCCAACCCCACCTTGTTTTGGCACAGCACTCTTACCCTCTGGCCCAGCACTTCCTGAGTAATGTACTGTGTGAATCCCAGTGACCCCAGGCACATCCTTGGAGCGCCAGCCCTAGCCAACACCACAGCCACCAGCTCAGCAACATTTGCCAGGCCCACCACCTGTTCCCAATTAGCCCCTGGACCCTGAGCATACCACTCAGCAGGAAACCACATGCACACAGGCCCCAGGGGCCCCCAAAGCAGCCAGGGCCGGGCAAGTCTCCCAGATCCAAGAAGACTCCTTTCCTGCCAGGCCCCAGGCTTCCCAAGACTTGGCTGTCTTCATCGCAGCCTCACGAGAGACTGAGGCTTGTTTGTCTGCAGCAGGAAGCACTTAGGAAGGAGCTGGAGGAGCTGAGGGCACCTCTGGCCCCCAGCACGAGAGCTGGGGATGCGGTGGTGTCACCCAGCCCAAGGGTGCAGACACTGGATGACAAGAATGTAGTTTTGGGTAAGGGAACCGGTCCACAGCTTGCCCTGGGTTCCTAATATTCAGGAACTCCTGGGTGAGTCCAGTCTTCACTGCTGGCTACAGAGTGGATTTGAAGGTCCTCATGTACAGTCCCAGTCAGCAGAGGGGGACCCCAAAATGCAGCCCAGAGCTTCTCCTTCTGCCCCACCATAGGAAGTTCTTTCACACAGCTAACTGGAACCCCAACTCTGCTGTAGGTATCCCCTGAAATCTAGGGAGAGGGCAAAGGCAGAAACAGGGCATCTATTCCAAATCCCCAGCTCAGAGCCTTCTCTCTGATGCCTTGCCCATCTCAGACAGTCACCATCCCAGGTGTCCTGGGATGCCATTTCATGTCCTTTTCCAAAGCAGCTCAATCTTCAGAGTGGCCCCTTAGTATCTGACTCCAGGCTCCCCACATTCCCATTCCAAAAACTTTGGGCAGTCTCATAGTAGGAAGGGCACCAACCTTATACCAGGCTGGCGGCTGGCACCATGGGAGGAGTCCCTGAGTTGGTGCCGGAGGAAGCCTCCTGTGCCCTGAGTCTTCTGCCCTGGTACCCAGGCCCAGGGGGTGGGGGGGAAGGGGGATGGGGTGCACTGGCTAGCAGTGGGCATTAAGAAACTAATGGATGGCTCCCAGGGGACATCAGCAAGCACTTGGGTTGGGGAGGTGTTAGAAAAGCTGTCCAGATGGCTGGTCCACACCCTCCTCTGGTCCCATTCCTAACCTCAGCTTCCCCCAGCTCCGAGCCCTGGCTCCTCAGAGGTCCTGGGGGGCGGGGACCAAGGGCTTCCAGGCTGGCTCAGAGCAAGCGAGGCCTCTGGAGGGCCCTCCAGATGCAGCAGCCCCGCTGCACAGCTGGGAACAATCAGCCTCGGAAACTTGCAGGGGCGCTTGCTGGCTTTTCACCAAGGGGTCTCTCTTTGTCTCTGCGTCCGCCGTTCCTTGCCCCCGCCCTCCACAGTCCAACTTCGGGGAGGACAAAAGCCGCCCTGTCCCCCCCAGCACCCCCACTTCTTGCAATCCCTAAGTTCCCGCTCCCTACATTTCCCACCTCACGTCCCCCCAGCGACCCCCAACTTGCCAGGTGCCCCCCCCAGCATCCGCTCCGCAGGCCCCCGGGACCAGGGTCCCCGCAGCATCCCCCTCCCAGGAGCCCGTGCGGAGCGCGACGGCCCCCGACGCCCCTACTCGTGCCTACCCGTCGGGGTCGCTGCGCTGTTCTCCGAGTGCCGCTCCCAGTGTCCGCCAAGCCCCGCCGCCGCCGAGCCCCCCTGCGGGCCCCCAACGGGCCAGCGCCCGCCTCCAGCCCGGAGCTGCTGGGTCCTAAAGCTAGTGCGTCGCCACGCCGCGCCCTCGGGGCTCCCACCCCTCCCAAGCACAGGGTTTGCTACTCCGGTTTCGGTTTTTTTTTTTTTTTTTTTTTTTTGTTTTTTTTTAAAAAAAAAAAAAAAATCATACTAAACAGCCTTTTTCCAAAATGCTTGGACCAGAAGTACAAAAGTATTCAGTGTTTCTGATCTTTTATTTCAGGGGTTCTGGGGTATTTGCATATACATAATGATACCCGGATTAAAGGCGTGCGCCACCACGCCCAGCTCGGTTTGTTTTTTTGAGACAGGGTCTTGCTATATAGCCCTGGCTAGCTTGGAACTCACTCGCTAAATAGACCAGCCTGGCCTTGAACTCAGATTCACCTGCCACGTAGCCCTGGCTAGCTTGAGCTTGGAACTCGCTCGCTAAGTAGACCAGGCTGGCCTTGAAGTCAGAGTCAGGGGCGATTAAAGGTGAGCGTCACCACACACACCCCTTTGGTTTCCTATACTAATCAACCAGCTTGCCCTTCCCCTTCCCCTTCCCCTTCCCCTTCCTTCCTCCCTCCCCCCCTCCCCCTGTTCCTTCTAGCTCCAGATGACCCCAGCACAGATCAAATTCCCCAAGCACCCAAGTCCAAATTCACAGCTTCCCGAACCTGTGCCAGACTCTCCAGGTCTCCCCAGTCAAGAGGTCACCCCACTCTAGTTCCTAGTCAGGCCTCTTCCTTGCTTTCCAGATGCCAGTTCTTTTCATGGGACTGTCCAGGTCTAGCTCCCACTAACTCTGCTGTGCAACCTTCCTAGTCCCTGTCTAGCAAGTGAATGAATAAACACCCCACCCCCTTGTGTCTATTGTAACCTAGCAGGGACTTTTGTCACCTTGGGCCCCAGCCTTCCTTGTTGCTGGGCTCAGTCCCACTGGGGTGGGGTAACCCACCTGGCAGAGATGCTGCCTCCTGTACTTGACAAAAGGGGAAACAGGCGCAAAGCTGCCCACTTCAGGGTCTCAGCCAGGATCTTACTGCTCTGATTCCCCTGGCCTTGGGGACCCAAGCAGAGAATAGCAGCTGTCTGGGAGGGATGGTGTGTTCTCTCTTCCCTCTGTGCCCTGGAGTAGTGCTCCCTGCCAGCCAGCTTCAGCCCCAGGTTAAAAGCCACATACAGCAAAGACCGACCATATCTTCCTTGGTCCTGACAAGTGCCCACCCATTGGATCCATGGATGGTCTGCAAAGTCTAACCTCCTGCATCCTGACCCGTTGCCCACTGTTACCGTATGCAGCTGAGGTGCAGCTGGGTGCCAGGACATGCCTGGTTATCTTTTTACCCCAGTCTGACTCAACACTTCCTGAGCTACCAGTGCCCTGTGGACAGCGCCAGGCTTCCAGTAACAAGGCTGGTGTAGGCCTAGAAAAAGGAAACGGCCACTCTTTCCTGTCCACCCCACTCGGAGGAGCCAGGCCAAGCTGCATCTCCTGCATCTTCAGAAGAGCCTGGCCAGCGGCCTTCTGGTGGAATGAGGTCAGCCGTACCCACCCTTCCCAGGGGATAGGGCACGTGGTCCTAGCTGGGAGACCTGGGCTTAGAGCCTGAATTTTATCTGAGGGAGGAACCAGACCACAAACACATCCCAGGATGTAGGGGTGGCAGGCAGAGGCAGAGAGGTGGGAAAGAGGAAGGCCCCCAGTGTGATGGCGTTCAGACTGAGGCAAGCCTGTGACTCTCCCTCCTGCGGGGGTAGGAGCAGTGAAGCTGGGTTCGGCCCCACTGCAGCCACTGGTGTGACCCCTAGCCTTCAGTTTTGCCATGGCCAACTAAAATGAGGCTGGCACCTGTAGTTACTATAGGACACAGGATGGCACCTATAAGATGCTAAGCTGTGAGCACCGTGGCTCCGCCCAAAGGCAGCAGTACTGTCAGCTGAAGAAAAGGAGGCTCGGAGATGGGTGTCCAATGTGACTGAAACATGGGGAGTGCCCTGAGCACACAGGTGCCAGGAGCACTGGGAGGTGAGCATACCCTAGGTGGTGGGAACAAGACTGGCTGAGGCAGGAAAATATCACCACTTTATTTGCTACACTAACAGCCCCTTGTGGAGTTGGTGGCTGCCATCTCTACATGGGATGGTCTAAAGAAGGGGATAACAACCAGTACTTCCCCAGTGGGTCAGGGAAGGCTGGGGCCAGGCAGTGGGGGTGGGGAGGGGGACAGGAGTGTGACAACAGACAACTTCAGGGCTGTGGGAGGTGATGGGTGCTGTCTCTACAGTCACGGCTCAGAAGCATGGGGTGGGGGAGTCCAGTGTCCAGTGTACTCTCCAGGCCTGTGCTACCTCACAGGGCCGATGGGCAGTGTGGGCCAAGGATGTTCAGCAAGTTCCCGCTCCAGCCGCTTGAAGCACTTCTTGGAGGCCCGTTTAGGCCGCAGCCGCCGCAGGCAGGCCAGGAGGCACTGGTCCAGCACACTCTGCAGAGGGCAAGGGAGAGGGAGTGGAGGGGCAGCTGGGGCTGGGTCCTCTATATCCCTCCCACAGCCTCAAGCAATGAGCCCCACCTCCAGCATGAAGGCTCCCACAAAGTTGAAGGCGACCAGGCCCAGCAGCAGCAGCTTGAAGCAGGTGTCGGAGATGTTCCTCAGCCCTAGCGGCCCCTGCAGGAGGCCGGGGACCAGGATGAGGCCCACCAGGACAGAGCCCAAGAACGCCAGGGCCACCAGGAAGGGCACTGGGGGTGGGGGAGTCTGTCAGCAATGGAGCTGGGCCCTGGGACACATGCACACACCCACACACGCAGGCATACAAAACACACTCAACTCGGTGTCCCTCCTCCACCCTACTTGCCAGCCCTCAGCCCGGCACCCCCACCCCACCACGCAGCAGCACCGTTGGTGTAGAGCGGCCGGCGGAAGGGTGCCCCCTTGGACACAGCCGCAGCCAGGATGAGGTACTGGAAGCTGGACAGGGAGAAGACCACTGTGTTCTCGTAGTTGGGCAGGTTGTCAGGTGCCGGCACTGTTCTGTTCAGAGGCACAAACCTAGGGACCAGGGTGGAGGGGGAGGATTAGGGGAGCAGTGAGGGGTGTTGGAGGCAAGGTTAGCACTGGGGGGGTGGTTCACTTTGTTACTTACCAGGGCTGGGCACTGGCCAAGAAGTAGCCCCCTAGCTGGACACTGGCCACCAGGGCCACCTGCAGCAGCAGGCTGCCCAGCACAGGAACACTCAGCAGTGCCCCGGGTGGCCGTGCTCGCCCCAGGGTCAGTGCAGGCCCACTGCGACTCATAAGTACGGCCACAGTGGTGGTGATGACCAGGTCTATGGCCAGGAACTGGACGTCTCCCAGGTTGGTGTTGACCTACAGTGGGGAGAAGGCAGAGGGGAAGCTGAGAGCTGGCCTCTGCCGAGTCCCAGGGTGGCCCTTGTCCTCAAGAAGCCTGTGGGAAAAGGCATCCTTCCTGCCTTCCGTCTGACCCAGGCTTACTCACCTTGACCCTGGTGAACCTCAAGTCACACGGAGGGGGCAGGGTGTCTAAGGCTCTACAGCCCTGGTTTATTATGGGAAGCACTGTCCTGCCCCCTAGTATGAGCTTGAGGGTGTGTGGGGGCATGTTAAAGCTCTATCAGCAGCAAACGCCAGCCAGATGGAGGCAGAGGTGCTGCCCTGGGGGAAGGGAGGGCTAGGCCGATGGGGGCATGTGGTTTCAGCTCTTAAGACACTTCCAACTTTGAGGTTGACACAGTTGGACAAATAGATCTTCCCTGCCCACAGTGCCCCTGCATTCAGTGGGGTAAGCGGGACATGCTCTGAACAGGGGCAGGGAGAGTCCTCCGGAGCAGGGCCTTGGCTCTGTCCCTCTCCTGTCAGAGCTCTTCCTTGGACTCAGTCTCCTCAGCACACAGGGAGCTCCCAGAGTTAGGGCCAAGTTGCTAGCACATGACAGTGGTTCCCATTTCTGGGAACCTATGTCCCCAGGGCTTTTTTTATTTTGTTTGAGACAGAGTCTCACTACAAAGCCCAGGCTGGCTGGACCTCGCTATGTAGACCAGGCTGGCCATCATCTCTGAGACATGCCTGCCTCTGCCTCCCAAGTGTTGGGATTAAAAGTATGCACCACTATGCCCAGTCAATGCCTAGTGCTTTTGTCCCACATGAGCTTTACTGCCTCAATCACACTGGCAAGTGGCAATCATGCATCCTAGAACCCACTGGGCTCCTAGCCACTGTCTTTTCCCTGGGCCTGGTGGGGACAGTGTGCAGACCTGGGGTCCAGAGTGCACCAATGCTCACCGTGTAGAGAATCAGGACTGAGATGAACTGGGTCAGGCTGTACAGGGCCATGTACTTGAAGACGCTGAATGAGGTGTCCAGAGAACACCGGCCTTCCCTAGGGAGTAGAAGTGGCCATGAGGAGACTCAGCCCCTGATGGGCCCTGCCTCACCCTTACCCACTGGCCCTGCTGCCTTACCTGATGATGGTGGGCACACACTCAATACTGGCCATGCTGGAGGTGAAGGGTGAGACCACTGAGGCCTCAGCCTGGGACAGCGAGATGCCCACATCAGCTGCTTTCAGGGCCCCACAGTCATTGGCACCGTCCCCACACATGCCCACGCAGTACCTGAACAGAGAAGTGTGCAGAAATAGCCTGTGAGCCAACTCCACACCCTTCATTGTAGGAAACCAGGATGCCAGGCCCTATGGTGAGGTGAGCCTAAAACTTACAGGTCCAGGCTGCATTCTCTGCTAAAGGGAGGGGCACTGAAAACAGTGGCTCTGATAATCCCTGTCTTGTAGAACACTGCCAGACTGGCAGGAGGAAGCGGCTTGGTCATAAAAGTGCAGGCTCCCTGCTCTGTGGGAAAGTGTCTTGGTCAACAACCCTTAGCTCATCTCCTTGTCCTGAACAAATAACTCAGCTATCCCTGGCTAAGAGATTGGGCCAGGTTAAAGGTTTACTCCTGAGCTAAAAGCTAAAAATTTACCATGCTTTTAGTTCTAAGAAAGAAAACACTGTGGACAATAAACTACTGGATGGGCATTGATAACCTTGAGTAAAAGTTTAAGAATCCTTCTGGCGCCAACTAACAGACTAAATGTCCTGTTTCTTTGTACCCTAAATCCTCGTACGTGACTGCCATATCCCACGTGACTGCTAGATTCTTGGGATGTATAAAAACCATCTGATTTTTAAAATAAATTGTCCTGTTGGGAAGACACCGATCAGACCGTCTGCCCCGAAGCCAATAGGTCCCCCGCTAAGCAAAGCAAACCCGAGTCCCGAAACTTCACAGGTTTACTGGAGTCTGGTTATGGTTGAACTCCTAATGACCACGTGGTGCTTGGAAAATAGATGCCATTAGTTTAGGCATGAGACAGCAGGGAGCCCTGGGGACCTCGTTCTTCATTTTATTATTTATTTAATTTCTCAGACAGGGTCTCCCTATAGCTCCAGCTGGCCTAGAACCAGCTATGTAGACCAGACTGGCCTTGATCTCACAGACATCTGCCTGCCTCTGCCTCCTGAGTGCTGGGATTAAAGGCATTGCCATCACCAGGTTGTTCTTTACTTTCTGTGGTGTTGGGGATGGGTCCCTGGTCTCCTTACGTACCAGGTAAGTACTCTACCACACTCCCAGCCCAACCTGAGTGCCCTTTCTTTCCAGACAGTTTCATGTAGCTGAGGATGACCTTAAACCCAAGTCTGATCTTCCTGCCTGCACTTCCTGAGTGTGGGGATTACAGGCAGGTCCCACCATGCAGTCAGGCTCTATGTAGTGTTAGGGATCAAACCAGGGCTTCGCGCCTTCTAGGCAAGCACTCTATCAACTAAGCACTAAGCTACAACCTAGCCCATTTTGTTTTAGATAGAGTAATTACTATGTAACCCAATCTAGTTTGAACTTGCAGCATCTTCCTGCCTCTGCCACCCATGTGCTGAGTTATAGGCATGTGCTACCATGTCCTTGGTGCTTCTGACAGGTGACGGGGCTCTACTGCCCGAGGAGAGGAACAGGGCAGATGGACATCCTTCCCAGCAGCCTTTGCTGCCCTTGCTGCCCAGCACTCACTGAAGCTTCTGCAGTTCACACACCAGCTCTGTCTTCTGTTCTGGGGCCATGCGGGCAAAGACGGTGGCCTGCACCAGGACCTGGAGTGCAGGAGGGGAGAGCCGAGACACCCAGGGAGTGCTGAGGAATGGGCAGTGTTGAGGCCCTCACCTGGGTAACCCTCCCCTGGTCAGCCTCCCCCAGGCGGCCCTACCTTGGGCAGCAGCTTGGGGAAGTGCTTCTGAAGGACAGCAAAAGTGGACCCACTGAGGGCCAGGTGGCTGGATCGGGGCTCAGGCTCCATGGTGTAGCCTGTGGCCTGGACAGGCTCCTGGGGATCCAGGGAGCTCAGCTTAGTGACCCCAACCTGGCCTGAAGAGCTAGGGCCTGGGTCAGGTGTCAGGGGTGGGGTGCCACGTCCAGAATTCTGAGCCAGCCTCACCTTAGCCCCATTCATGGCTGTAGAGGACTCAACTGGCAGGAACTGGAGAGAGGCAGGCTGGCCCTGCTCAGGGTAAGAGGCATGGACGATGAATAGGTGCTCCTGAGGGCTCACCATGCCGCAGCCCCGGGCCACAGTGACTGCTGTCTGTAGGTTGTCCCCTAGTGGTTTAGGACAAGGTCAGAGTCTAATGCTTTCCAGGGGGGCCTCGTCACCCTGGCCCTTACATATGGAACATGCATGAGCTCTGTCTACCATCACTGGCTGAGCTGGATAAACCAGCACATCCCTAGCATAGTTTCTTCAGTGGTGACACAAACCACCTGGGCATCAGAGCAGCACCTGGGGGCGGCGCTTGAGCTCAAGGCTCACTGCTGCACGACTGGGCGTGGCATGTTTGGGAGCGTGCACAGGCTGGGGGGCATGGGGGCTCCTCGCCTTTCACCCTGGCTAGAATCTTCCTTGCTGTAGGAGATTGTCAGTCTTCCAGCCTGACATTATCTCACCTGGCAGGGGAACCTGGAGCCCAGAGAGGCTGTAACCCAGGCTGACACCCCACCTAGCTCTTAGAATTTGTTCCACCCTGGGCCTCAGGCTCCTCATCCGTCAAATGGGGTGGAGGGACTGGCTCCAGAAAGATGCCATGGCAGGTGACACCAGGCAGCCTTCCTTCTGCCCTGGATGGGTGGGCCATGTCCCCCTCACGGGCCTCGTAGGCCACTGTACCTGTTACCATGACTGTGCGGATGCCAGTCCCCCGCAGAACCTGGATAACCGGGGTCGTCTGTGGCTTTAGCAGATTCCTCATGACCAGTAGCCCCAGGAGGCTCAGCTCCTGTTCCACAGTGTCTCTGGAGGGTGACAGGCCCAGGCCCCAGTCAGAGGTCAAGCAGCGGTCAAAGTCTCCCTCCCAGCCACCAGGAAGGGGCACTTCCCTGGGCTCAGCGTGAGCCAACACCTCCCTAGTATACACTGGGGGTGTATTTACCTTGTCAGCTGCTGAGCGGCCTCCAGGCTGGGCACAATAGGCAGCGACTTGCCAGCCAGGGCCACAACACGGTAGCCAGCAGCTGTGTAACTCTGCAGCACCTGGGCGAAGTCACTGGGCACTGTGGGGACAGAGAACGTCACTAGGGCATGGGGTAAAGGGGAGCAGAGACCAAAACTGCCCTGTTCTGTGCCTACAGCCCAGCAGTGGACTCTAGGCCTGCCCCCTTCACCTGACTCAGGGCTGCAGAGGCCGGCCACCAGCTCTGGTGAGCCTTTGACGTAGGCCTCGGGCTGGGTGGCCCCCGGCCATGCCACTACTACGTCCATCCGCTGTAGGGCAGAGGAGAAGGGAAAGCGGCACAGGACGCTGACTGGTTCCACAGACTCTTCCTGTGGGTGGGAAAAGAGCTGAGGGGCTGGCTGCAGGGCCCACTCCTCGGGCCCCAAACCCCAGTCAGCCAGCAGCTCACCGTTCCCTGCAGTTGGGGCCCCCAGGGTGGGGGTTTCATCACTGCCAAGACTTGGGACCCAGGTGCTGAGTCTGCAGCTGGGCCCTCCTCCAGGACCTGGGGGCAGACAGAGGAAGTTGGGAACCAGGTCCTTGACCAATGGAGCAACACCAGGAGAGACTCAAGCTAGACTGATGGAAGACTTCTTTTATGACTGGAGGAGGGGCTTTGGATCTGTGTAGTCTCTTATGTGCACTCTGGCTGTGCCACTGATAAGCTCCATCTCTCCACCAGCTTCAGTTTCCTCCCTATGAAGCAGGTTTTAAATTTATGTTGGAGTCTGGGTAGGAGTGAATGAGACAAGCAAAATGCCAGCATTCAGTAGGTTCTCAGCACAAGGCTCTGCCATGACTGAGTGATGGTGGTGTGACAGAGACCATTTGGGGAGTCCTAGAATGAGGGTGAGGTGGCATTCATCAGACCTGGCTGCCCCAAAGCAGGGGCTGGCCTGCCTGGCCTCCTTACCCAGCCTGTAGACTCCACCATCTTGAGATCCATGGGGTCGCCCACTGGGGTGTCGCGTAGCTGGCTGAGGGCATGGCAGGTGGCCAGTGCTCGAAGAAGGGGCCCCAGGGGCAGGTGGCGGGGATCTGGAACCAGCGGCAGCAATGCCTGCCCCTTCAGGGGCACCACCCCCATCACATCCAGGTCGTCTTCTGTGAGGGTGCCCGTCTGCAGGAGGACAGGGCCAAGACCCTAGATGAGCCAGGGGAAGCCAGGAACCAGAGCTAGGGCCACAGGAGGGCTCTTGCCTCTGCACTCCTGTGCATCTGCTGGAGTAACTCTCCTTGCCCCCATGTGAATCTGACTATACTCTCCTCAGTTCATGGACCCAATGGGCAACAAGAGGCCGCTGCTCATCAGGGCACTGCCCACCTGGTCCTGTCCTGTCACCCCCACTGCTCACTGTGCCCCAGGCACATTCTGTCCCTAGAGGTGTTCACGCTTGTCCCTTCCTACCTGCTCAGAGAAGCCTGAGAAGCAGTCACTGTTCCCACCCACCAAGGCATCTCACATGCTCCCTAACACCCCTCCCTGCCTTGCACACATATGCTGCTGCTGTGCTCACTCACTGGGGACACACACTAGTGTCCCTGAGGACATCTCTGCCGGTCTCCATGGTCTCTAGGGCTATGTATAGAGCCCAAGGAGCACAGCAAATGAATAAATGGCTTCAAGCACTTCACCTCCAGACATGAGCATGAAGTATGGAGGAGGTGCCCTGCATGTTCTTACTGTGGTGGACCCAGGTCCTGCAGGCCCTCTGCTGATATTGCTCAGGTATATGGGTTCAGAGGCCTAGCTGAGGTACCCAGCTCCAAAGGCCTGCCAGCCACCCCTGCCCATGACCACTACCTTGTCAAAGCACACGAGCCGAAGCTTGCCCCCGAGGTTGATGCGCAAAGGGTGTATGCAGAAGATGCCCTGTTCACGTAGTCGGCTCTGGGCATAGAGTGTACACACAGTCATGGCGGCAGGCAGAGCGGGTGGGACCACCACCGTCACCAGGTCCAGAGCCCGGATCACAATCTCGTTGATTGGTACCTGGCAGGAGGCACTGTGAGCACAGAGCCTCCTTGGCTCAGTCCTGCTTGCTGGCGACCCCACCCAGTCCATGGCTTACCCGGTTGCGGTAGAGAATGAAGATACTGTAGATGGTGCCAAGCAGAGCTGGGGAGACAGCAAGGGGTGAGTGGGGCTCGGGACCTGGGCGTGGGCTGTCAGCACAGTGGGATATAGAGCCCACTCACCCAGGACAGACAGTGCAGCCACAAACTTCATGCTGTGTTTGTAGAACTTGAAGTCGATGGGCCGTGGGTGCAAGATGGAGCTCACCAGGCCCCCCTTGGCTGTACAGAACCCTGAAGGCAGAAGGGGAAACCAAGGCAGGGGAGGCAGGGTTGGTCCAAGGCCTCACCAGGTTAGTCATCATCTGGTTTGGGGTCACAGGTGAAGGTTCATAAGCCTGGCTCCATCCCAGTGGTTCTTGTTTTTCTTTTCACAGTTCTGAAAATTGAACTTTGGGCTTCATGCATTAGGGGCAAGCACTGAGCTATGTCCTAAGCCCCTATTTACTTTTTATTCTGACAGAGGCACTCACTAAATTGTCTAGGCTAGCCTGTCCTTTTGCCTCTGCCTCCTAAGCAGCTGGGATTGTGTACCTGCGGCCCCCTTAGGATCTAAAAAAATGGAGTTAGTGGACATTAAGTGGGTGGTTCCACTTAAAATGCAAGCTGGGATTTAACAGGCCCCTCCCCTTCCCAGTGAGGGCCCCTGCTGTCTCCTTTGAATATGCAGTGCTTACTCACAGTCTGTGAAGATGGGGACATGAAGACTGGGGTGGGGCAGCACTAGTGGGGGAACCACAGCAAGGCAGTGGCAGAGCTGGCTGTGGGGTCCAGGGCTCCAAGTCCTGTCCTACCCCAAGACAGCACTCTTCTCCCCTCCAGGTCTGTACCTGTCCGAGTTACCACTGCCAGGACATGGGGTCCCAAATAGGCCCGGGCCTGCAGAACGAGGGTCCCACAGAAGAGTGTGTGTCGCCGATGGATCTCTGGACAGTAGGGCTTGGGCCCCTCTGGCAGGGCAGTCTTCAGGACTGGGACACTCTCCCCTGGGAAGGACACTGTGTAAGGTCCTCAAGGGGCACTCAGAGTGTCCCCTCCCACCAGCGTAGGTAAAGCTGTGCACAGACTGTTCCATCAGCTCTAAGTTGCATTTGACACAACCAGGTGGTTAGCAAGAGAGTCACAGGCCAGAGAGGGCAGAGGACATAAGACATGAGGAAATCTTGAGGGAGGGCAGCCAGTTACCAGGAGTCCACTTGGGGAAGTTGGGTCTGATGGTACAAGCATGTGCATGTATTGGGGAGTCTCTGTCCTTTTAGAATTATCACAAGCATGCACTACTTTTTTGGTTTTCTGAGACAGGTCTTGCCATGTAATGAAGCTGGCTTTGAACTTGTGATCCTCTGGCCTCAGCTTTTCAAGTCCTGGGGTTACTGGTCTGTGCTACCACACCTGGCCACATCTTTCATAATTCATAATTCTCTAAAGCCCACGAAGGCTGCCTGACAGAGTAGCAATCCTTTCTGAACACCCGAGAGGGTAGGATTATGGAGCACCTATGGTGCAGATTTCTAGGAGGGTCTCAAGGGCAACCCAGGCTGCCTGTGTTCCTAACAGATGGGATGGACAGATAGGGTAGGAGCAGACAATCCACGGAGGGCCAGATTTATTTTATTTACATAGGGTCTCATGTAGCCCAGGTGGGCCTTAAACTCACTGTGTAGCCAAGGATGACCTTGAACTCCTAATCCTTCCTGCCTCAACTTCCTAAGTGCTGGGATTACAGGTGTGGGCCATGTGTACTATGCTTAACTCTTTTTGCTGTTCCTGCTGTTTTGAGACAGGGTCTCATTATGAAGCCCAGGCTGGACTTGCAGTGATCCTGCCTTTGCTTCCTGAGTGCTGACATTAAATGAGATTAAAACCATATACTACCCCAGCTGGCCTAGAACTCAGTATGTAGACCAAGCTGGCCTTGAACTCACAGAGATCCTGCCTCTGCTGGGATTAAAGGCATGTGCTACCACACCCAGCCATTTCATTAGCTTTCTAAATTTTATTTTTATGTGCATGAGTGTATTGCCTGCATGTGTGTAAGTGCACCATGCCATGCAATGCCCTTGGGGGTCAAAATAGCGTGCTGGATTTCCCTGGAACTGGAGTTACAGATGGTTGTTAGCCACCACATGGATGCTAGGAATCGAACCTGGGTCCTCTGCCAGAGCAGGCAGTGCTCTTAACCGCTGAGCCATCTCTCCAGTCCCTCATTAGTTTTCTATATAGATAAAACTCCAAGCTAGGCCTGGTGGTGCAGGGCCTGTAATCATTCCAGTGGTTGAGGCAGGAGGATTACAAGTTTGAGGTCTGCTGGGACTACAGAGTGAATTCAAAGCCAGCCTATGGAACTTAGTGAGACCCTGTCTCAAATACAAAGTGGAAAAAAAAGAGGGACAGGGATGGAGCTCAGGGGTAAAGCAGCTGCCTAACATGTGCAAGGCCTCAGGTGATTAGTGTACCACAAACAAATAAAACCAAAACACTAAACAATAAAGAAATCTCAAGCCAGAAACTCCTTGGAAACAAACCAATCACCATGTCCTGGTTTTAATTAACCACCAAGACAACGTATTCAGAGAAAGGTTTTTTTTTTCCCCTAAGACAACATCTGTGTCTCTCAGGCTGGTCTAGAAATCGTGATCCTCCTGCCTCAGTGTCCTGAGTGCCCCTGTGCCCAGTTCTTACATGTATCTCGTATGTATTGAAAGGAACTCAGGCTGAGGCTGCTCACAGTGGTGACCCCTGCACTGGCTGGAAACTCATGTTCTATTATCCCCATTAATGGGCCTGGCATGGCCAGTCAGCATCCACCTGCACTGTGTCTCCACAAAGCCTGAAGTGGAGCCCTACATGCATGGGAACAAGGGTCCAGGGTTTGCTGTGCAGGAAAAGCAGGAGCAGAATTAAACGGGATTGCCAGCAGGAGCAGAATTAAATGGGATGCACACAGAAACAATGCAGAGGTGTTTGTGCACACATGGTCCATAAATGCACAGAAGAGATGTGGCAGTGATGGGGACCCTAGCTTGTGGGCCACATTCTCCTGTGTGGTTTGGAGTGTAAGCCATTTGGCAGATGCGATGTAGAAAGAGTTCACACATGCTGGTGCCTGATCTGCATACCCTATCCTGGAGTGACTGGCAGCTCCATTTTATAGCAGGAAAAACTAGGCAGTTAGTTAAGTGATAAAGCCCAGAGGTATGGGGTTAGCAAGTGCTAAAGCCAAGACTGTGACTTGAAAGAAAAAGAAAAATTGAACTAAAACTTCTGGCCAAAGCAGAGGACTGGGTGGCAGGGAAGAAGGTCCAGGCTGGGCTCACCTGTCAGGGAGCTCTCGTTGACCACACACTCGCCAACAACCAGGGCAGCATCACAGGGCATCACTCCACCCTCCTGGGGCAGCACCAGGCAATCTCCAGGTACCAGCTCGCTGGAGTCCACCCACTCCTCCTCTGTGGGCAGGTGGGGCTCAGTAGGGGCCAGCTGCCTCCCCGTCCCACACCCCAGCCTCCCTCCTGCCCATTCCTCACCTCCACCAGGCCGGCACACACACACCCGCATGGACAGCTTGACCATGTCCCTAAGAGTTATGCTTTGCTGTGGGCAGAGGGACAAGAGGAGATGAGCATATGGCAGCCTCTTGGGGAAACCCGGCCTGGCCCCGCTAGCCCACCTCACTCACCTTTCTGGTCTTGTACAGCGCCACACAGATGGAGATGGCTGAGATGAGGAAGATGCAGAGAGCGTACCAGTAGTAGTGGTCGGCCAGCCACAGTGCGATGCTAAAGGCCTGGAATCCATAGTAGGGGTTCAGTGCCTGGAGGAGGGACAGGAGGCAATGTTAAGGACCGCACCTTATGCAGCCCAACCACAGCGGGGAGAGCCAGGTGGCTGCCCAAGACCCATCCTCATCCCCCGTGACATCCTCAAGCTGTCAGCTTTGCTGCTCTAAGAGAAGACAGGCATTTGCTGAGTCCGACACATTAGACCCCTGCTTAGCTTCCTAAGTGCCATGCAATGAATGCTGAGGACATTTCCACAAGGGGGAGCCACCACCAGCTCCATTTTACAGACACAGAGACAAAACACAGGAGGGTTAAGTCACAGGCCTAAAACCACACAGCACCTGAATGTGTAACCTTAGTCATGTCAGGTCCCACTCTGGGCCTCAGTTCCTCCTGAGTGCACAGAGAGGTAGCGCTTGTCCCTATTCAGAGGGCTGCCAGCAGAACACAAGAAGAAGGGCAGGCCTGGCTCTAGAGCAGGCCACCTGGTACATGGTAGTACTTGGGCTTTGTGGCTCTGCCTTAGGCTCCTCTGGCCCAGGCTTTGTGTGGACCCTGCCCGTCATCTTCAACATGGTCTCTCTCAGGCTGAGCTGACTGAGCTCTCTCAGGGTTTGAGATGATTAGTCACTGATCCCTACCTGGATGAGGATGGCTGGTCGGGGTGAGACCAGGAGCCCTTACCTCATCCACCAGGAGCTGCAGATAGGACTTGACAGGTATGCTGATCTCGTTGGGGCCATAAACAGTCTTCCTGTAAGAAGGGGAGGCAGCAGAGCCGTCAGGTGGATCTTCCTGGGGGACCAGCACTCCCACTTTACACTAGGGAAACCAAGGCCTAGAGAAGGCACCGACTGGCAGCAGGGGTGTGGAAGGAGTGGGGTGGGCAGAGGGCAGCACATACCTCATGGCTTGGTCCTGGGGGCCAAGGCCGGAGCGGGAGCAGTGGATGTCATCACAGGTGCGACCATGGTCCAGCAGGCTGGTGGGGATGGATGGGTGGGGAGGGGACACTGTGTGGGTGATAAAGGTCTGAGCTCTGCATCCCATCTCCCATAGGTTAGGAACTCGGGGATCCAGGGCCTTCTGGCCCCCTCTGGCCACACTGAGCCCTGGGGAAAGAGCGCCTAAGGCAAGTTACTCTGTGTCTCTGTTTTGTCATCTGCAGAATGGGGGCAGGAACACACCCACCTCATCAGGCTTTAGGTGACTGAGTGAGATAATGTCAAGGCTAAGTGACAAACATGCTAGTGAGTTCTGGCCATGTCCTCACTATGCACCACAGGCTAGTGGTGTCCCTTCCCCATTGTACTCACCGCACAAAACACCTGTGTTTACCTAAAGACTGTCCTGGCTATGTGAGCATCCCCCTACTTACCAGGGACAAAGGCCCAAGGGGGCAGAGTCTAACTCCCCAAGAGCAGCCTGAAACCCTTCATGACTGGAAGCTGATAGATTGTGTCCCTGGACTCTGTAATCCCTTGGGGGTGGTCCCCCAAAGTTCATGCTCAACTCTGGCCAGGGGTGTCCCTAGGAGCCTGTGCTCCTGGTATTAGTGGTGGCAACAGGCCTGGTGCCTTCCACCACCACTTTTCCAGCAGTCTGGAGCCATCTCCCAGAACAATGCCTCTGCCCTCGCCTGGGGCGTCTGCTTCTAAGAGATCCACACAAAGCCATGGTGGCAGACAGGGACTCAGTCGGAGCACACCATGGGAGTCAGAGCTTGTGTTATGATCCCCAGGAGGTGTCCCTTCAAAACGACCCTACGAGGTGGGACATACCCCCATTCCCTGGAGGGGCTCATGGACTCGGCAGAGGTTTCAGGGCAGCTGAAGGTAGCCTGGGCCAGGCCAGCCCCATCATGCCCTAGTGCCCAAACCTGCCCTGCTGGAGATAGTGTGGCCATGCCTGGGCCCCTACCTGACTTGGCAGAAGGCTTGCTGGGTCTCCATCCAGATGTAGCGCTGACCTTGGAAGAGGTAATACCGCAGCACCTGGTTCTGGGTGGGAGAGGAAGAGGCTGGTGGGAGGCAGCCTGGTCCAAGGAGCATGCGTGTGCAGAGGGTGGGGAGAGGAGACCGCAACAGCAGCACAGGAGAGGCTTGAAGTCCCCCCACTGCACAAAGTATGGCTCAGAGAAGGCCAGGGTCAGGTCCAGAGCCTAGCAGGTCACTCACTGCCTTCTCCTGCCTGTGGAGCTGGGTGGTGTCCTTCCACGTGCCCTCTGGTACTGCCCCCACTGCTACCTGGCTCCGGCCATCTTCTGCTTGGGCCTGTGGGTACAGCCCCAGGCTGGAGAGAGAGTAGGGCTTACGGTGCTGCTCCAGGGGCCATGAGAGTTCCTGTCCCTCCCTAGGATGGGACACCCATGGTCTCACCTGCCCTGGTTGACAGCCTCGGTCTGTACTTGGACAGTGAAGAGCTGCCACAAGCTATCCTGGAACAAAGAGGTATGGTCTCAGCCTAGTGAGAGACCCCACCCTCCCAGGCCAGTCCCACAGCCAATGGCACAGGGTATCTGTTTACACAGGACCAACACACTATATTAAATGGTCTTTGTGTGAGTGTGGTGTATGTGCATGTATGTGTAGGAGCATGCCAGTGTGCACACAGTCTAGAACAGGACACCAGGTGCCCTGCTCAGTCACTCTCAGCCTTACTCCCTTGAGACAGAATTTCTCACTGTACCTGGAGCTAGGCTGGAAGCCAGCAAGCCCCAGTGAAGCCCCAGCAAAGCCCATCTTCGCCTTCTGCCCCACCTCAAGAATGCAGGGGTTACAGGTGCACAGGTGACCATGCCAGCTTTTTCCATGTGCTCTGGAGATCCAAACCCAAGTCCTCATGTGCTTTTACTCATGGAGTCACCTCTCCAGCCCTAAATGTGAGATCTTATTTATGTGGGTTTGATTATAGACTAATAAAGAGTTCTCTAAAGAAAAAAAAAAGTGGGGGCAAGGGGTACTGGAGAGATGGCTCAGTAGTTAAGAGCACTTATTGTTCTTGTAGAGGACCTGTGTTTAGTTCCCAACACCCACATGGCAGCTCACAACCAACTGTAACTCCAGTTCCAGAGGATCTAGCAACCTCTTCTGATCTCTGCAGGTTCCTGCACAGATGTGGTGTGCATACATATACATAAAATTACATATTTATATATTTTTGGTCTTGAGACAGGGTCTCCCTGTAGCCACAACTATCCTAGAACTCACTATGTAGACCAGGCTGGCCTTGAACTCACAAAGATCCGCCTGCCTCTGCCTCCCAAGTGCTGGGATTAAAGGCGTGCACCACCACGCCCGGCCCTAAAATAAGTATTTTTTTAAAAAGAGAATAGAGCTGGGCATGGTGGCACATGCTTTTAACCCCACCAAAGGCAGGCAGATCTCTGTGAATTCAAGGCCAGCCTGGTCTACATAGCAAGTTCCAGGCCAGTAAGGGCCACATAGTAAGACCCTGTCTCAAAAAAAAGACCCGGGAAGCACCAGACCCTTCTCTGTCCACTGCCCAGATGGAGGCACTGAGGTACAAAGGAAGATGGGGACTTGCCTCCTGTCCCCCTTCCAAGGGCTGGCAGTGGCTGGGCTGAGAACCCCAGCATCCTGGACCCTTCCCCAGCCCCGAGTGACCCTGCTCACCTCTTTGTCTCTTGTTTCGATAACGAGTGTTTCGGCGTGGGCCAGGCTGCACGGCCGGAGGCGCAGGCGGACGCCCCACAAGGGCTTCCAACGGAATAGCAGCCAAGGGATCCCTGCCAGCATCCAGACCGCGACGTGATAGCCGATGGCCCTCCATAGACTGCCACAGTAGCCGCTGAGCCTCTGAGGATGCAGGTGAAGAGGGTGATGAAGCAGAGGGAGGAGGGGACAGGACAAGGCCAGGGTGCTGGGGGTGGGCCACTCTGTCACCCACCCACCCACCATCACTACCTACCACGGATGAAACTGAGGAGCTGAGGGGATCGATCGATGTCCCGATCGATGTCCCGATCGTCAGGGTCCCATAGCTGGGGGGCGTGCTGCCCACGAGCGGGCTGCTGTCTGTGGATGGAAAGGAGGCCACCAAGGGGAGGACATGTTTTTTGTTTTGCAGTACTGGAGTTGGAACCCAGGCCCTCACACTAGGCAAGCTGCTTCAGAACCAGGCTGCATCCCCAGGCTTCCTCTTCCTTCCTTAAGCCTGCCAAGTCGGGCCCTCTGTACCCAGGCCTCTTGTAAGCTGACTGACCCCTTACTCAGAACTCCCTTGTGGTCTGGCCAGAGCTGTGTTCTGGTGTCTGCTGCTGCCTGCCTGTGTGGGATGCTGTGCCTCACTCCCTTCTGCACTCTTACCCACAGGCAAGGGTGGGGGCCACTTGTTCTCAGTCAGTCCCTTTGTCCAGGTCTGGCTTGGAGTCAAGAGACCCTGGGGAGTCAGGTCCACCATGGCTGTGTCAGACACATGGATGGCTGGGGCAGAAACACCTTTTATCTGGTCTCTCCTGCAGAGCTGGTGGACAGTAAGAGCTCCCAGGAGGGGTGGGTACACAGCCCCTCTGTGGGGACAGCCTCTGTGGTGGCCAGTGGCTAGACCACCTGAGTTACTTGGATCCATGCCTCAGTGGGGATGGGTGGTGCTGGGCAGTGGCTCACTTCACTAGGGCCTCTGGAAACTCCTTAAGGAGCTGCGAAGCCAAGCAGCTGCAGGGCAAGCTGATGAATTTCTGGGCTCTTTCTAACCTGAGTCCTTCTAGAAGTTTCTACCCAACAAGCCCTAAGCAGCTGCCATAGTGGTGGCATCTCTAGCCTCTTAGTTGCTTGGTCTCCACAGGCTGAGGCTTCTGCAGTTTCGGCCCAGTTTCTCAGACAGTCCTGACAGTTGGGCTGGGAGAGTGACTCAGTGACAGAGAGTGTGATGCCCAGCAACGGAGCAGCCAACATTCCCCGAGGGCTGATCATGTGCGAGCCCCTGCTCCAGACCACTTTTACAGGGTTAACATGGTGATTTTGTCAGGTATTACTGCTTTGTTTTTCATTACTTCTGAGTGTGCACAGGTGTGCTCACCCATGTGCGTCTGTGTGTGTAGGGAGTCTTCCTGTCACTTTTCTTATTTCACTTGAGACAGGGTCTCTCTCTGAATCAGCAGCTCACCAAACAGGCTAGTGACTGGCCAGTAAGCCCCAGGGATCTGCCTGTCTGTCCCCACAGCACTAGGGTTTCAGACGTATGTAGCTGCGCCTGGTTTTTCTGTTGGCACTGGGGATCCGAACTGGGGTCTGCATGCCTGTACAGCAAGCCCTCTACCCTCTGAGCTACCTCTCCACTTCCCAATCTTTATTTTAAAGAAAAGCAAAGGCTCAGAGAGGTTAAGTGACATGTCCAAAATCACACAACAAGGATATGGTAACTCTAGGAGACAAGCCCAGGCAGGCTGGGTTTGTTTGTTTTTGTTAATTAAATGATAGGTTTATTTGTCTTGTTCAAAAAGAAGACTGGGTGTGGTAACTAGGGCAGTCTAACAGCTCACTTCCCATGTGCCAGGCGCTGTTCTTAATTCTAGGATGGATGCTCCCTTGGGCACACAGGGAACTGAGGCAGCGGCACAAAGACCCACAGGGCTGGGAAGCCTGAGCCTGGTCCTGGGCTTTGGAGCCTACAAAGAACAGCCAGAGAAATGACGTGTGCTACTTGTCCTGAGGGCTCTTTCCAGAGGACCCAGAAAGCAGCCAAACCAGAACCACACTGGCAGGCCCTCTCCAGCCTGCACAGAAAACATATGGTACTGCATGGCTCCAGGAAGAGGCTGGTCTGTGGAGCAGACAGAACAGACATGGACCACAGCTGGAGGGTGGCTGGGGGATCATTTTCTTCTTGAACCATAGGTCAAGAGTGGCCTTGGCTCCACAGAGCAGCCTAGCTCTACTCTTGCTGAGACCTGAACTCAGGACAGTAGGCCCAACCTTCCAGGTGGCTGAGAAACAGCACCTCAGACTCCCAAGGGGCCGATCAAGGCTGTGTGATCACTCGCTCACTCCTCCCCACAACCCTATGAAGCAGACACTTTAATCTCTATTTTATGACTGAGAAATTGAGGTGTGTGTTGGGACGGGGGTTGGGGGGAGTGCGGCCCAAGAGTCACAGCCTGGCTGTCTGCCAACTGTCTGTGCTTAGTAAGGCAGGTGCCTTAGTCTTCCTGAGCTTCCACTTCCCCTCCCTAGGACAACAATTCAGAGATGTGTGCAGCTGGCACATAGAGCAGCAGGCAGAAGCCATAGCTGCAGCCACAGCCTGTGTTTAAAGTCCGTATGGTTGGTGCAGGTGGGCCGCTTCCTGCCCAAGAGGCGTGGCTGCTGCTCTGACCCACTTCCCAGGCTGCCTTCTCCTTTCTCATCACCCAGCCAGAAACCTACAGGGGTGCTGCCCCCAGGCCTGAGTATCAGCTGCTTCCTGTAGCTTGGGGTCCTGGGGACACTGGCTGGCTGGAGCTGGACCTGAAAGAGCCAGAGGACCGACCCTGGACTTTGGCGCATCACTGTTCTGACCTTACTCCACCCACCTCAACCTGGGGGGTGGCCTCTGAGCATGGCTCACAAATGTGGATGTTGGGCTTCCTGCACCCACTCTGCCAGCCTGTTGTTTGGAGACTGAAAAGGGACCTGTCTTCCCCCGAAGACCTGCTGCCCCTACACTCTCCTCATCCATCGGCTCTACTCATGGTACCTGCTGCCTGCTAGGGCAGCACTGAGGGACTGACTGAAGAAAGAATGAATGAAGGCACCTTCCTACACACAGCAGAGCAGGAAGGTGCTGGACCAGCCTCCTCATCCCCATCCCAGGTCAGTGTGCTGATAGGTGTGCAGGCTCCTGCCTCTTCCTGAAGGACTCTTACTATCTAATCTGGGAAGTTCCCTGGCACATATCCATCTTTTCATAAAAAAGGCTCACAACCAACCTTGGAAGAGAAGAGAGGAAGGGAGCCTGCAAGGAGGAGGAGGTGACATCTGGGGAAATCTCTAGAGTTCCTGAAAGGACCACACCCAGGGCAGGCTGTCTGGCAGGACACATTAGCAAAGCACTTGGATAGGGTTCTCCACAGATCAGCTGTCTAGAGCTTTCCATTCCAGCGCTGGCTGGCACAGGCTGTGGACTGGGAGGCATGAGAACTTTGTTAAGCTGTTTCTGCTCTCCTGTGTGACAGCCAGCAAGGCCTAAGGCTTGAGGGAGGGATTAAAGTCATTTTTCCTCAAGTGGAGGAGGAACTGAGGGACAGCCTGAGGTCAGAAGATACTGGCCCAGAGTCATATCTCAAAGTGGGGAGTTGGACCCACTGGCTGTGAGGAACACAGTTCTCAATTCATCCTCATAGCTAGCTGCTCCATGCACAGTACAGAATCTCATCTAAACAGGGAGGTGGGGGCATGGAGATGGCTCAACAGGTAAAAGCCTGATGACCTGAGTTTGATCCCTGGAACCCATGGTGGAAGGAAAGAACCGATTTTTGAAAAGCCCTCTGACCTCCACACACGTGTGTCCAACGCACACAATAATAATAAATTGAAATTTTTTTTTTTTTGAGACAGGGTCTCCCAGTAGCCCCAGCTGACCTGGAACTTACTATATAGACCAGGCTGGCCTTAAACTCACAGAGATCCATGGTGGCACACGCCTTTAATCCCAGCACTCAGGATGCAGAGGCAGAGCTCTGAGTTCAAGGCCAGCCTGGTCTACATAGTAAGTTCCAGGTCAGCAGGGGAGACTGTCTCAGAAAGACCAAAAAAAAAACAAACCCTTAAAATGAGAGCTGGGTGTGTTGCTCCAGCATATTAATCCCAACACTCAAAAATTGGAAGCAGGAGGATCAGGAGTTCAAGGTCATCCTCAACTACATACTGAGTTTGAGGCCGGTCTGGACTACATGAAACTGTCTCAAAAAATAAAAATAGGATCTCTATGAGTTCAAGGCCAGCCTGGTCTACATAGTGAGTTCCAGGACAGTTGGGGCTACAGGGAGACCCTGTCTCAAAAAGATAAAAAAAAACCCAAATAAATAAAAATAAGATAAAATAAGGCTCAACTCCCTGGCAATGTAACTCAACAGAGGACAGGGGCCAGGGTTTGATACCCAGCACTCCCCCACCCCACCCCCACCCCCACAAAGGAAAAAAGAAGAAAAGGAGGCCAAGAGAGGTTGAGCAACACCTACAAAGTCACACAGCCTTAGGCTAACCAGACCAAGCACTGCAGAGCAGGGAGACTGGAGTCAAAGTCATTTGGGAACCTCTCTTTCCCCCAGAAGGCCCAGCTTCCGGCTGCTAATCTGGCAGTGGCCCACAGCAGCGGAGGGGCTCCCTCCTCAGTGGCTCTCCTGTGGCCAGATGCTCCTAGCCTCCATCAGGCTGGAGTGCGTGCGCACTTTGGGTGAATCTGGGAGTCTCTGGCTGGATTCTAGGGACTTCTTTCCTCATTGTCTTACTGCGTGCTCAGGATAGAACCCAGGGCCTGGTGCATGCTAAGCCAATGCTCCAATAACCGAGCGGCACCCCGCCCTCCCATTCTTTCCCCTCTCTCACCTGCGGCGCTATAGGATGGGGGTTGGGAACTGCTCCAGTAATGGGCGGGAAGGGGCAGACACTGGGGGCTGGCAACCCCAGCCCCTTTTGGGTAGGAGAGGTCTAGCCTCATCTGCAGGTGGGATTTCGGATTCTGGAAGCCGCTAGGACACCCAGCCTGGCATAGGGACTAAGCAGGGTGTGGTCCTTGGATCTGGCCGCTGATCGGCTCTCAGGGAGCCTGAGGCGGGGGTGGGTGGGGTGGAGAGGGTCACTGGCGCATTTGCGCCGCAGGTCACCCATCCAGGCCCCGCAGAGAGCTGGCTCCCCAGCCCGGTTCATTCAACCCAGAGGGGTAACTGCTCAGAGGGCACCGCGTCCCCCGCCTGGTCACGGTGGGCCCCCGTTCAGAGGGGGTGGGGAGGGCAGGCTCCCCGCCCCCCAGGGACCCTGTGGCGCAGGGTGTGGGAAGCACAGGGCCTGGCTGCGCGCAGCGGCATCCCGAATCCGGCATCTCGGGAGGCTTGGGGACGTGTCCCCATAACGGAGAGAGGACAACGGGCCCGGGATGCAGCCCAGGGCCTGCGACCCCGCAGGGGGGTGTGGGCGACGCCGGGCCGGCAGCTCACCTGCGCTCATGTCGGCTCCTTGCGCTCATCGCCGGCCCCGCACTGCGGCCCGCGGCCTGGGCTCGGCGTGCGAGGCCCCGGGGGGCGCGGTCAGGGGCGCGGGGCTTGTGTGGCGAGCTGCGGTGAGCAGGCGAGCGGGAGGCACCTGCAAGACCAAGCGGCTGTGGCTCCGAGGGTGCCGCAGTCTGTCTGCGGCCGCCAAGCCCCGCCCCGACGCGGCGCCCACGTCCGCCGCCGCGCGAGCTGCCGGGACTTGTAGTTCCCAGCCTGGCCTCCATCGGGCGCATGCTTAGAGCCTGATGCTGGGGGACATTGGCAGGGACAGCCCCCAGACAGGACTGACAGAGGGAAAATGGACACGGCTGGAGACAGAATAGACAGACAGACAGACACAGACAGACAGACAGGAAATAGACAGGCTAGAGACAGAACAGACAGACGACAGACTGAAAGGTGGACGCTGGGAGACACAGGTGGGACAGTCCCCAGACATGCACATGCACTCATAGAGTCAGCCCCAGCTGCACACCATAGTTGTTAATTAAACCTTTTGCATGTGGATTCAAGCTAGCCTTCTCTTCCAGGCTGTGTGACTCTGGGTCTATTTGTTAACCTCAATGGGCCTCTCTTTCTTTCTTTTTATATTGTGTGTGTGTGTGTGTGTGTGTGTGTGTGTGTACAGCCACCTGTGTGGAGGTCAAAGGACAACTTGCAAAAGTTGGTTCTCTCCTTTCACCACATGAGTCCCAGGGATTGAACTTAGGTCTTTAGACTTGGTGGCAAGTGCCTCTACCTGCTGAGCTACCTTGCTAGCCTTGAACCTCTTTTTCTGAACTGTAGAATAACAAATGGTAACAGCAATGCCTGCTTATCATGAGGACTGTATGAGAACATACATCTAAAGTCAGAATATGGTCTGACACAGCTGGATAGCTGTCAGGAAAGACAGACAGACTTGCCCATAGACTCACATGGTCAGATATGGCCACAAAAATATCCAGATGTGGTTAGTTGTGATGGCTCACAGGCCCTGGGTATACCAGAGATTGTGGGCCATCCCAGAAGCTTCACAGCGTGACCAGCACTCAGGCCCATACAGGTGGACAGGCACATGAAGACCCTGAAAGATATGGGAGGCCTCCTTCTTGTCTGCAGCATTTACCACACTGTCTCATAGTGATAGACATAAGTAAGGTGTGCCTTGGCCCTGGGGTCAGCAGCCTCTGGACAGAGGAGCTACAGAGGTGAAGACCCCAGGGAAAGGTGGACACAGGGTAGGCCTGGGTCTGCAGCACTGGCCATTTGTCCCATATGAACTGGTAGAGTATTAGGTAGCATTCTGGGAATCGGACCTGACCAGGCCTGACTCTGGTAAACGAGCGAAGGCAAACAAGCAAGCGCAGAAAGTTCTAGAAGGGTGGGGACACCCTCCAGGGGGACAGCAGGGTACCGTGGTAGCCATGTAACAGTGATATATACCCAGGAGCATGGGCTGTGTTGACAAGACTTGCTGATGAAGTGGAGCTGTGGTAATGTGAGATTCAGTCATGGTCCAGTTCCAGGGTTTGGCCTGAGCAGCTGAGGGACAATGGAGTCATTTATTGAGTTGATAGGGCAGGCTGCTGGTGGAGCAGGTTGGGGCCATTCTTTTTGGCCACATGGGGCATGGGGCTGGGTTCACGTCAGACTTATTTGATTAGCTGTAACATGGCAAATGGGGACCAGCTGTGTAACTTCTCAGAGTCTCCATATCTTCCCCCAAGGTTTAACCCAATGCCTAAGCATGTGACCTTTCAAGATACCCCGCTGGCACCAGAAAGACCTGGGTATATCAACTGCCTTTGAGGTTTTGAAAAGTCACTTTCTCTCTCTGAGTCTATCCTCTCACCTGTAAAATGGAGGCCGGTAAGATGATGGGTACTTGGCAGAGCTAGGCTGCTTTCGTTAGGTACTGATGCTGGGTTAGAAGCTTAGTAAGATGAAGGGGTATGGGGACTGTCTTGCAGGCCTGACATTGCAGAGGTGCTACCCAAGCCATCTGGGAAAAAGCTGTGCTGAAGGCAATCAGGCCTTCTCCTTGATGGGGCAGGAGCCAGAGGAAGTGTCCTTTCTAACCACAAAGGATGCCAGAGGCCCTGCCACTAGCTCAAGTCCCCTGTGGGGATGTGGCTCTAACTGTGGTTGAGCAGGTCTGTGGGCCGGGCTCTCCTCCCAGATAACTGCTGCTGAAGTTGCCAGTCACATGTGAGCCAAGTCTGATTCCAGTTTCCTTCTTGGCTGTGGCTCTCAGGGCTAGAGTAGGGGATGCCCCAAGCCTGGGTCATATGGCATAAGGTTGAGAAATCACTGGCACAGGCTAGTTAGTGAAACTTCTCAGTTTCGTTAACTAGATGTTTGCAACAAAAGGGGATTTTTCTCAACTAATGACATACCCTGAAGATTCAGCAAGTTTGTCTTGAGGTTGTCCTGGGTTCAAGGAAGAAAAAGAAGGACCTGAAGGGAATTTGAACAATGGGAGACCCTGGGACACTCAGCAGCCAGTGAGATGGGAGAGAGAAGAAAGTGGAGAAAGGAATATCTTTAGCCTGCATACAAAAACCAAACTTTGAAGACAGGCTGTGGTGCCTCATGCCTGTAATCTTAGCACTTGGGAGGCTGAGATGGGAGGATTGAGGCCAGCCTGGGCTATATAGCAAGATCTGGTCTCAAAAACCTGAGCTCAGACTGTAGCTCGATGGGTACTGTACTTGCCTAGCATACAGGAATCCCCAGGTTGATCCCCAGTACCACATAAAGCAGGCATGGTGGTGCACTCCTGTAATCCTAACACTTGGGAGATAGAGGCAAGAAGATCAGGAATTCAAGGTCATCCTTAGCTATATAGTGAGTTTGAGGCTAGTTTGAGCTACATGAGACTGTGTATCCCAAAAAATCAAAGCAAACAAAAATATTAACCAAGGGCTGGAGAAATGGCTCAGCGGTTAAGAGCACTGACTGCTCTTGCAGAGGACCTGGGCTTGATTCCCAGCACCCACATGGTGGCTATGAACCATCCTTAAACTCCAGTTCCAGGGAATCCGATGCCCTCTTCTGACCTCCACAGCACTGCCTAACATGGATGCACTCACATACATGTAGGCAATACACTCATACACATTAAAAAAAAAAAAAAAACCTAACCAAACAGGGGCTGGAGAGATGGCTTGGCAGTTAAGAGCATTTGCTGCTCCTCTAGAGGATCTGGGTTCAGTTCCCAGCACCTACATGGCAGCTCACAACACTCTGTAACTCCAGTTCCAAGGGATCTGGCTTTCATGGGCACTGTATTCACTTGTATACATGCAGACAAAATACTCATATACATAAAAAAAACCCCAGAGATCAAACTCTGAAGTGGTCAATCACATGAGACATACAGCCAACTGTCCAGCAAAATGCGGGGTTCCTTATGTGGTTGATACTCTAGATAGTTCAGACAAGTTAGCTGAGTTCATGGAGAACTTGCTCTGCTGTGGGCAACTCACTTCATGTTTATTCTTCCTTAGAGTTCGGCCACATTCTGAATGGCGTTTGTTCCCATTTTACAGGTAGCAAAAGAGGGACAGATGGTCAACAATTGTTGGTCGTGGTGGCACACGGTTTTAATCCCAGCACTTGGGAGGCAGAGGCAGGTAAGTGTCTGTAAATTGGAGTCCAGCCTGGTCTACATAGTGAGTTCCAGGCCAGCTGTGGCTATAGGGAGACCTTGTCCCCCCAAAGACAAACAAACAAATCTTAAAACAACAACAAAAAAACCCCAAAAACAAACAAACAAAAAAAAACAAGCCAGGCGTGTGGGCCTGCCTGTAGTCCCAGCTTTCGGGAGGCAGGGCAGGCAGATCTCTGTGAGTTCAAGGCCATCCTGCTCTATAGTGAGTTCCAGGCCAGCTGGGGCTACAGGGAGACCCTGTCTCAAAAAGACCAAAACAAACAACAACAACAACAACAACAACAACAACAAAACAAAACAGAAAAATCCAAAGAGGGACTAGAGAGATGACTCAGTGGTTGAGAGCATTGGCTGCTCTTGCAGAGAACCTGGGTTCAATTCTCAGTACTCACACGGCAGCTAACAACTGTCCTTAACTCCAGTTCCAGGGGATCTGGCACCCTTTACTGGCTTCTACAGACTTTGTAAGATATGGGTGCACTTACACACATGCAGGCAAAATACTCATACACATAAAATAAAAATAAATAATTTTAGGGCTAGAGAAATGGCTCAGCAGTTAAGAACACTGGTTGTTCTTGCAGAAGACCTGGGTTTGAATCCCAGCACCCACATGGCAGCTAACAACCCAAGAGATCCAACAACCTCTTCTGACCTCTGTGAGCATTGCATGACACGGGTGCACTTACCTACATGTAGGCAATACATGCATATACATAAAAAATAAAAGTAATAAAATACTAAAAAAAAAATTTTTTTAAAAACACCAAAGAGCAGTGCTGGGTGTGGTGGTGCACACCTTTAATCTCACCACCCGGGAGACAGGCAGGTGGGATCTCTGTGAGCTCGAGGCCAGCATGATCTACATAGTGAGTTCCAGGGCAACCCCACTACAGAGAGATCCTGTCTCAAAAAGACAAAAAAGAAAACAAAAGTCTTGCTGAGTGTGGTAGTGTATGCTTATAATCCCAGCATTAGGCAAATTAAGTCAGTTTGAGCTGCACAGGAAGACCATCTAAAAAAGTGCAAAGCCTTTGTGGCTATACAACCAATGGTGAACTAAGCAGCATTTACCCAAGTGCCTTTGTTGACTTTTTTTTCTTGGTCTTTTTGAGACAGGGTCTCCCTGTAGCCCCAGCTGTCCTGGAACTCACTATGTAGAGCATGCTGGCCTTGAACTCATAGAGATCCTCCTGTCTCTGACTCCTGAGTGCCGGGATTAAAGGTATGCGCCACCATGCCCGGCAACTCTTTTTTTAAAAAAATATTTTATTATTTTTTTATTTTTATTTTATGTGTATGCGTGTAGTGCCTGCATGTACGTTAAGTGCATCCATGTCGTGCAATGGCCACAGAGGACAGAAGAGGCATCTGATCCCCTGGGACTGGAGTTATGGACAGTTGTTAGCTGCCATGTGGGTGCTGGGATTCAAACCTGGGTCTTCTGCAAGAACAGCCAGTGTTCTTAACTGCTGAGCCATCTCTCCAGCCCTGCTTGCTGACTCTTAGAAGGTGCAGAGCCCATCTTTACAAGCTATGTATCTTTTTTTTTTTTGGTCTTTTTGAGACAGGGTCTCTCTGTAGCTGGCCTGGATTTGTTATGGAAAGCAGGCTGGCCTTGAACTCACAGAGATCTACCTGCCTTTGCCTCCCAAATGCTGGGATTAAAAGCATGTACCACCACGCCCGGATTTTTGGTCTTTTGGAGACAGGATCTCCTTGCTGTAACCCCAGCTGGCCTGAAACTCCCTATGTAGACTAGGCTGGCCTTGAACTCTCAGATATCTGCCTGCACAGCCACATCCATACCTTGAGAAAACCCCATCTTTCCTTGCAGATCTAAAGATCAGAAGCAAAGTCCAATTACCCATGAATCTAAAGAATGTGACCTTTCTGGGTCTGACAGAGGTCCATTAGGTTTGAACTGATCAGCCGCTGCCCACAGACCTGGTCCACGGATTCATTCTGCCAGCTCTCAAGTGCTGGCCTTTTTAATTTTTTTTGGTCTCTTTGAGACAAGGTCTCCCTGTATCCTCAGCTGTTCTGGAATTCACTATGTAGATCAGGCCAGACTTGAACTCATAGAGATCTGCCCACCTCTGTCCCCCCACCTCCCCCCAGTGCTGGAACTAAAGGCATCGCACTACCACACCCAGCTCAAGTTGCTGGCCTTATTAAGTCTGTCTGCCTGAGTAGGGAATTCAGAGACGCTGGAAAGGCAAACCTCCTTTCTTAAATTTCTGGTTGATTTAAAAAAAGTTTTTTGTTTTTTTTTTTCTTTTTGTAGTGATAAGAATCAAATCAGGTCTTTGCACACACTAAGCACATGTTCCAAATCTCTATATTCCTTTAAAATTTATTTAATATTTATGTATTTATTTATGTCTTTTTGAGACAGGGTCTCCCTGTAGCCCCAGTTGACCTGGAACTCACTATGTAGAACAGGCTGGCCTCTAACTCACAGAGATCTGCCTGCTTCTGCCTCCCAAGTGCTGGGATTAAAGGCATGAGCCACCATGCCTGGCTTTCTCTTCCTTTCTTTTAAAGACAGGATCACATTATATAGCTGGAGCTGAACTTGCACTCACAAGGAGTGCAAATTTAGGAGGCTGGGGCTCAGACTTGCCTTGAATTTGGGGTCCTCTAGTTTCAGTCTCCTGAATGCAGAGATCACGGGTGTGTGCCACTAAGCCTTGTTAATATTGTAACCCTTTACTTTTGTAAATTCTTCTTTTATGTAGCCCAGGCTGGTCTAGAACTCTCTATGTAAACTTGAACTCCTGATTCTCCTATTTCCAACCCCAAGTGCTAGGATTATAAGCATGTGCCACCACACCCAGCACCTTTTTGGTTTTTGGTAACAGGGTGTCTGCTTGCTCAGGCTGGCCTGACATTTGCCCAGGCTGGTGTAGAACTCATAATCCTCCTGCCCTAGCCTCCTGAGGGCTGGGATCACAGATATGTGCTCAGAAATGCTTTAAGGCTCATTCTTGGCATTATCAGACATTTCCCTCAGTACCTGCCATGTGAAACAAAAAAACCTTTGCTTCTGGGATGGCCTAAAATGTAGCCCTGGTGTACTGTGGTGGTTTGAATGAAAACGTCCCCCAAAGGCTCCAAGTATTTAGATCCTTTTTCTTTTTGTGGTACTAAGAATGGAGCCCAGGGCTTCTGCAAGCTGGGCAAGTGTTTTACCACTGAGCTGCATTCCATCCTTCTTCATTTTGGGCTTTTTTTTTTTTTTTTGGTCTTTTTGAGACAGGGTCTTCCTGTAGCTCCAGCTGGCCTGAACTATGTAGACCAGGCTGGCCTTGAACTCAAGAGATCTGCCAGCTTCTGCCTCCTGAGTGCTGGGATTAAAGGCGTGTGCCACCACACCAGGCCTCATTTTTAAAAAAAAATTAAAAAACATTTTTATTATTTTTATGTATATGCATGTATTGCTTGTATGTAGATAAGTGCACCCATGTCATGCAATGCCTGCGGAGGACAGAAGAGGCTGTTGGATCCCCTGGGACTGGAGTTATGGACAGTTGTTAGCTGCCATGTGGGTGCTGGGATTTGAACCCAGGTCTTCTGCAAGAGCAACCAGTGTTCTTAACCACTGAGCCATCTCTCCAGCCCTATTTTATTATTTTTATGTATGTGCCTGTATTGCCTGCATGTAGGTAAGTGCACCTGTGTCTTGCAATGCCCTCGAACAGAGGAGACTATCGGATCCCCTTGGAACTGGAGTTATGGACAGTTGTTAGCTGCCATGTGGGTGTTGGGATTTGAACCTGGGTCTTCTGCAAGAACAATCAGTGTTCTTAACCATTGAGCTCTCTCTCTCCAGCCCCCATTTTTGTTTTTATTTTGGGTCAGGATCTCACCCAGGCTGGCCTAGAACTCAAGATCCTCCTGTCTCTTCCTCCCAAATGCTGGGATTATGGGCATACAGCACCATGCTTGGAAGCTTTACTTTCCATTCTAGAATCATGTGAGACTTCATTCTATAAAATAATCACTGTCCCAATGAGCCAAGCAAGCATGGGGCTGGTTTTACAGGTGCTGTTGTTAGGGTTGGAGTGAACTGCTTCCCCATGTGCCAACCGGATTGGTCATTTTGGAGTTACTGCTCTTGTAAAATAGGACATGGTGATGGTGGTGGGAGCTGTGTGTGTGTGTGCATGCGTGCGTGTGTGCAGGTAGTATAGAACTTTGACATGACTCCATTCTGATGATTTTAAACACATGGTTAGATGGTTAGATGTTAAACAGTGATGGCAAAGGCTAGGGTAGGAGGCAATGTCACACATGCCTGTCTATAAGCTCTGGAGACCACTACCTATTGTGGACTGACGAAGTGCACCCAATGTGATATGCTGGTTTGTTGCTCTGAAGAGTCCTATGTTTTTTTCAGACAGTGTCTCACTGTGTCATTCTGGCTGACTGGAACTCACTGTGTAGACCAGGCTGGCCTGGCAGTCTCTCTCCTGAATACTGGGATTAAAGTTAAAGGTGTACAGCACACGGCTTGAGTTTACATAGGCCATGCCGTATGAGTCTGAAAGGAAACCAGTGCAGTGTGCAAGCTGGAGGGCCTTTCAGTCTTCACCCTGCACTTTCCCTATGGGGATTCAGTGTAGCTCAGGCTGGCCTGGAACCTGCTATAGCCTATGTTGTCCTCAAACTTGCCCCTCTGTCTCCCACCTCTTTGTGCTGTTTGCCCAGCATTACTACTTATGTGGTACGGAACTCATGTTTGCAGTGTGGAACTCCATGAGATCATTTGTGGAATTAATCAGCTCATGTCAGGGGCACTGCTCTTGCACTGGTGGACCTCAAACCTGGTTTCCATGGTGTAGGGAGATGTAGTCCTGAAGATTGCAAGTGGTTGCTGCACACCAACTGCTAGCTAATGTCACAGACCCTGAGATGCAGAAGGCAAGGCAGGCAGTTTTGACTCCCATATTAAGATGGACTAATGCAGCAGCAGAGGGGTGAATGAACATGTCAGGTAAGTGGCCATGCTGGGAACACACCCTGGTCACGCTCCTCTAAGTCCTCACCAGGGCTGAGTTTGGAGCCCCGTCCACCTCTTCAAGGACAAAGACTCCCCTCGCCCCTTCACAGTCCTCAGTAGCAAGGAACACTTTTGGACTGCTTTTGTTAACAAGGTAGAATAGCATTTATTGATTTCTGAAATGTTCTCATACATGCTGTTTCATGGAGAGTCCAGGAGTTTGCAGGGTTCAAGTCAGAGCTGAACGGCTAAGTTCAGCATGAGGAGGGCTAACCAGATGCTCTCTTCTCCTTGTAGATTGCCATCATCTTCTTGATTTCTGCGATAGCTTTTCCTGGATTCAGACCCTGGAGGAAAGAAGAGTGTCAACACTGGGTGTGACAGGTGAGAACCAAGCTCCTGCTGGAGGAGTTGGGCTGGTGTGCAGATCCAGTCTTCACAGGCCTAACAGCTGGGGAAGAGCACTTCCTGTCCCAGCTTCCTGAAATACCCAAGTTGGGATCTCTAGCTCTGCCACATCAGTCCCTTCTGGTGAGGCCCTCTCCAGCAGGCAAACATGTAAAGCTGGGAGGGGCGAGGACACGGAAAGATTAGACTTATCTGAGGTTGAGGAAGGACCCTCTCATTTTAGAGTAACTCTAACCTGAAGATAAAGTATCGTGGAAAGGACAGAGCGGTCCTTTTCATACCGAGGACTCCTGAGTGCCTGAGGTGGGGAGGTAAGATGGGTGCCACACAGAAAGGCAGGAAGGATGGCATGCAGAAAGGCATGCTGCATGGCCGGCCTCAAGCTCAGTGTTCACAAGGCAGTGTGTGTGTAGGATGGCATGGTGTAGTGGAGTCACACTCTCCCTGGGCAGCCCCACAGCTATCATGACGTGGGTCCCAAGGGAGGAGCTTGTGGAGAGACAGGCTTCTGGCACAGGTTCCCAAGACTGTCTCTTTCTGAAAACTCCGGGGCTGCTCTACAATTTCTCCTCTTGCTGCCGAGACTCACTGTGACAGTCAGGTGAAACTGCTTTGCCCACAGTCCCTGCTTCAAGGGCTGCTGTGGTCACACCACACACCTCTTCCCTGCCCAGTGGCCAAGGCTGACAGGTCAGGGTTGGCACCTGATGAGGACGGCAGTCAACCCACAACTGGCTATCGCCAGCCACACCCAGTCCCATGGGCTGCATGACAGAGCTGGGCCAAGAGACTCTCAAGAATGGGAGCCTAATGCTGAGAGCACCTGGAGAAGGGGAAGGTAGAGTCCAGTGGGAAGGCTGGCACAGCACGTGTGACAAGAAGGTGAAGGCCAGAGAGACCTGAGCTCAAAGCCCCACAGAAATTGTACAGAGCAGAGACCTGCAGGGCTGGCTGCTGGAGCAGATCAGCAGCAGGCACCACAACACTTAGTGAGGGGCCCTGGTGCCCATGGCTGCCTATTTCTCATGACCTTGGATTCTGGGGGCATTCTCACCCCACCTCTGTGTCATCTCCAAGTAAAGCCTGCCCTAGGGGACCCGTGGGAGTCTAGAACTAAGAGCAAAACCAATCCCATGCTCCTACTGAGACACCATGGCTCTGCCCATGCCAACTGACTACTCTCTAGTCTGTACCTTGGGGCAGGTCAATGTGCAGTTCATGATGGTGTGGCAACGGTAGACAGAGAAGGGGTCCTGCATCTTGGCCAGGCGTTCCTCTGTGAAGTCATCTCTGGAGTCGATTATCCAGCGGTAGGCCTGGGAAAGGTGAGTGTCAGCAGAGCCGTCAAGCCCAATGGCTTGGCTCACCCCAGGTTCAGGTGTGTGGACACCTTGCTACTGCCCTCCTTAGTTCTTGCCCATCTTTCAGGAAGGTTCCTGGCTCTTTCCTGTGTTGGAGATCCCCGTGAGCCTTTGATCCACACTGTGCTTGGTAACACAGTGCTTAATGGTACACTACTGGGCATTGCCTCCTCCTGTCGCTCCCCAGCTTCTAATTACTGAAGACAGGACTGAACCAAATGTCTTTGTCTCTTCGGAGAACCTGACCACACTGGAATCTCACTGTCACTCAGTACGTGGAAGCCTCTCTAGTGCTAGGGATCACAGTGTGCACCGCCATGCCCAGCACAGAAAGTGTGTCTCACCTAACCTGTCAATCCACATGCCCGAGATCAGCAAGCTTACAGTGGCTTCCACACGGAGTCCAGCTCTAGCCTCATCACTGAGACCTGTATGGGTCCCTACAACTCAGATGCTAGGGGACAGGCAGCATGTGAGTGCCCACGAAGCCAGGGAGCAGTTTCTGTCTGCTTGTAAAGCAGGGCCTCCCTCTGCACATGGCAGAGTCAGCACTGCTCGGCGGTCACACAGCCATGAGCTTCCTTTTCATGGGAAGATGAGAAATGTGAAGCTGACTTATGAGTTGCTTAACAGACTGACCACAAGTCTGAAAAGCACAGCTTTCTGGGCAGATAGACTTTCTCTGTGTTGGCTTGTGGTAACAGGCCACTCTGACAAGGCTTTTTCTGAGCAGCCCTTGGGTCCAGGCTTTTCCCGCCTTGGAAAGTTTCCTGTCTCCCAGACGAACAACTGCCCTCAAGATGCTTCTCTCCCGCATGCAGCCAGGGTCCCAGGGTAATTGCTGTTTGCTGTAAAGCAGGCACTGCAGCCAGGCACCCAGTTTCTGTCTGCTATAAAGTGGGCCCTCCCTCTGCTACAAAGGCATACCACCCAGACAAAGCCTCCAGTTCCTGAACTTGCCATGTGAACCCACAACAACCCACTTCCCTCTTGTACTGCAAGCAGTGGACACTGCCCCTCTTCAGACTGGCTGGCCACTGTCCAGTCAGACTACACCAGTCCACTGGAGTCACTGCTTGAGTTTCGACTTCTCATGAGGCAGATAGGAAGCCCTCACCTGCATGAGAACTGCAGGCCCGAGGTACTTGTCTCCGTTCCACCAGTAGCTGGGGCAGCTGGTGCTGCAGCAGGCACACAGGATACACTCATACAGTCCATCCTGTGCAGAGAGAGGGCAGTCAGACACCAGGCCCCAGTGCATGACCAGGTGCCAGCCTGCCTGGGAGCTTTCTTGAGGAAATTCAGGTGATGGGTTGTGGAGAGGTAACATGCATCAAAAAGACTGTGGAATGAAATGTAAGCCTCTGTTGGATTAGAGCCTGAGGGCCTTATGTCCAAGAATAAGGCACTTAGCTTCAATAACCAAGAACCCTTCACTGACCTAAAAAAACCCCAAGGACATGGGACAAATTCCCACCCAGTATGCAGTCTGGAGTACAGAGGTTACTGTGGCCCTTGATAGTCTGGCACAGAGCCTGCCCTGCTGGGTAGAGACCAAGTTTCCAACAGGACCCTCAATACCACCCTAAGCTGCCCCAGTGTTTCACACACTAGGCCTTGCATTTTTGGGGAGGGGAGGACCAGCACAGGTAAGGAAGGATCAGGGGTCAGTTAGGGCACCTGTAACCTAAGATCTGATGATGGATCCCGTTTTAAAAATATTTATTTTTATTTTACGTGTATGCGTGTATTGCCTGCATGTAGGTAAGTGCACCCGTGTCGTGCAGTACGCACAGAGGTCAGAAGAAGCTGTCGGATCCCCTGGGATTGTAGTTACCAACAGTTGTTAGCTGCCACGTGGGTGCTGGGATTTGAACCTGGGTCTTCTACAAGAACAATCAGTGTTCTTAACTGCTGAGCTCCCTGTTCTTTCACATCTGCCACATGGACTTAACCTGCCCAGCCATGCCTAACAAGCTGGACTTGTGGTATTAAAAGCAGTAAGCCAGAGGGTCCCACTCAAAACGGGGGATAGCTGATGGACTCAAGAGGCACCAAATACCATGACTGCATAAGATTTATGTTAGATTCAGACTGCTGGCTATCTAGTTGTTACATGTAATAAAGAATTACCCACACTCTCAACTGTCCAACAGTTGAATTGTTCAACTGTTCTCACTGTCCAAGAGTAGTGGGATGTTTTCATAACACATGTGCAGAAACCAGAAGCAGTACAGGGCTGCATTCTGCTTAGCAACAGAATGTGTGCTTTGTATGGATGAAACCTTAGGTTCTACCCCCAAGCACCCCCCACAATAGATAACTAAGTGAAAAAAATGGTTGTCTACATTTTCAATTGCCTGTTAAACTTAGCATATTAATTTAAGGAATGGAAAAATGCTAAACAAATGTTTGGAAGCTGTTTTTTGTGTATGCTGCTGGGAATAGAGCTCTGTGCCCTATGCTAGGCAAGAGCTCTACCATCAAGTTAGAGCCTGGCTCCATTTTGGATGCATGTATGCATGTATGTCTTGCTCTTGTGGTGACTCCTGTCTCATCCCTCAGTGCTAGGATCATAGCAGGAGCCATCATGCCTGGCTTCCTTATAGATATTTAAATGAGCAAACCCCTATGATCTGGAATACAATCCAGAGGCCTTTGTTTCCTAATGCCACTTAAAGGAGATACTCGCCAGATGAGGTGAGCACAGCCTGGAATGTAAGAGCACTAGCTGGGCCACGGAGAGGTGGGTTCAACCTGGACCAGGATGCACAAGACTGTATGTGAGGTAGAAGTGGCGATGAGCTGAGTGATGTCCTCATGAGCACTCTGTCATGGACACTTACCTGCACTTACTGCATCACTGCACTACCCTCACTGTTTCCATGGCGACAGAACAGCACACCCTCCACAACTTTCTTTAATGTTTTATGGGGAAGAAGAGAGGAGGCAAAATATCCCCAAGACCTAGAAGGTGGAGTTTATTTACCTACTAACATTTACTGGTAAAACAGCAAAATAGCAAGTACTGAATCTAGAGATCCAGAAAGAAACAAGGCAACTGCCCTAACAAGTGCGCTAGTTCCACTAACTGGAATACATGTGTGGCAATCAAAGAGGGCTCCTCAGAGGAGGTGCAAGAGAGGAAACAACTGGAAAATGCGATGCTGAGGCCTCCACCTTGTGGGATACCTGTAATTCCAGCACTTGAGAAGCAGAGGTGGGAGGATCAGAAGTTCAAGGTTGGCCTATGATATATGAGCCCTGTCTAGGAGGGGGAAGGGAAAAAAAAAGGTTTTGTAGCCTGTGTACTCAGGAGTAGCACAGGACTCCAGAAGGCCAGTACTACTGAGTCAGGCTATAGGCACCAGAGATCCAGGGTTGGGAAAGGACAACAGGCGTACCTTAGTTCTTACCAGTGCTCAGCCACGAAAACAAAACCAAAATGAGCCCCCCTCTATCTGAAGTGGGGGTGGTACCCACTACCCTGCCAAGTGACATCAGTTTTTTTCTGTTTTGGAGACAAGGTCTCCCTGTAGCCCTAGCTGGTCTGGAACTCAGAGAGATCCACCGGCCTATGCCTCCCGAGTGCTGGGACTAAAGGCATGCACCACCAGGCCTGGCTGAGATCAGCTTGGTTCTGTCAGCTCCTACAGACCAGGCATCTTAAATACTGGTCTCCTCTGGCAACATGGCAGTAGCCTGTCCCTAAAGGCAACGCTCAACTATGCCGGCTCTCTAGTCTGCTGACCACCTGGCCCTCAGAGGGTGTCCACCCCTTGCACCAGATGCTCTTTTTTTCTGTCCCTCCCCAGTACTGGGGATGGAACCCAGGGTCTTGAGAAAGCTAGGTGAGAGCTCTACCTGAGCCACATGCTCAGCCTGGTAACTTTGGTTTTTTATGTGGGTCAGATGCTCCCAAAGTTCCTTTCTAGAATACACTATGTGGTCTGCATCATCCCAACCTCTCCCCCCACTTCCACAAAGTATCCTCTGCAACAAGCCCCTCCCACCAAGACAGCAAATGAGGCTAATGACCAGCTTTTCCCGGTCTGCGATGGACTGCAGGTACTGCTGCTTGCCTTCCTGGGACTCATCCTTCTTCTTCAAATAGGGCTCGATGGACTTGTACTGTGCATAGAAGTTGTTCAAATCCTGAGGGGAACAGGAGAGATCAGACCCAACAGGGCCCTAGAGCTTCCTGCTCCCTATTTTATGGGCACCCCCACTTTCCTGCCCTTTGACAGAAACTAGACTCTTGGAGGCTGGGCCATAAGCAAAGGTTTGGAGAGGAGAAACCATGTCAGTCCTGCACAGTTGGGAGGTGCCCCCCACCCCCACCAGCTGGAGACCCGCTGACCCCAGTCCTTCCTCCCTGCTGCCCTCAACAACAGGGGGTGGCTTCAGTGGAGGGAAGGGAAGGGAATTACAGAGCAAAGTTAAACTACTATTGCTTTCCAGTTTGTACTTTCCAGACACATTCTTTGTAGTTATGGCCAAATCCTTAATTTCTGGGGCTGCTGCAACTCTGAAATTCTAAGCCTTGCTACTCCGAAACAAACCTCACCAGCCGAGCTGCAGGAGGATGTCCAGCATGTCCCCTGTCACATTCTTCAAACACATACAGGCCATGGACCTGGGGGTTTTCCTAATGTTTTTCCCCTCCTTTAATGCAGGAAGACAGCCCTGTCAAACTGTTCTACATTTCTATCAAAGCAGCTGTGAACACCCAGACCAGCTGCTCTGAAGAGTAGACGGCAGGACAGGCATGCGCACCACCCCCTGCAGCAGACACTCACAGGAACTAGATCCTTGATCACATACATATGCGGAAGAGGGTAGATTTTTGAGACTTTGTTGAGGTCCGAGTCAATCTTCCGAGTGCACGCCAGGGTGTTGCCTCCGTTGATATTCATGGCGCAAGAGCCACAGATCCCTGAGAGAGACACCAGGGGACCGCAAGCTCCCAATCCTTTCTTCTGGGCCATCAGGGCCACACTGACAGAGAGCATGTCTTTTCTCCCTCTTTGACTGTCTAGAACATGGATCTAACAGCCAGAGAACTAAAGAAACACTTTGTGCCCAGGGGGAACCCTGGGGTTCAGAGCCACATGCTGAAGGTGGCTCTTCAGGTCAGTGGGGCTTGGGGAGTCACATAAGCCTTCCTCCTACAGGGATGTGCTCTGAGAGAAACACTGGCTTTGGACTCACATTCTAATAGGTACCCTTAAGTGCCGGAGTACAGCTCAGTAGCAGATTGAGGGTTAGCAATCAGTAGGCGCTGGGTTCAATCCTCAGCGCCACAAAAAGTAAATACATAAAAATTAAAACACAATCCACAGGTAACCGTTCCCAACGCTGATCCACACTGTCTTAGCCATCTCAAGGCCAAGGCCTGATGTGAGGAACTGAGCTCGTACCCTAGGATGTCCACACACAAGCAGCATGTGATGCCTGGGGCTCTGAGCCCACAGCACTGACTAAACCCTGATTTTCTATGAAGCACGAGCTGATGTGAAATCAAAGCAAGGAGGTGCTGACCCAGGACCCCAACAGAACTTGCTCAGTGAGACTGACTTCCTGTGACATCTGCATTGGCTTTTCTTTTTGTTGGTTTTTTTTTTTTTTGAGACAGGGGCTCTGGTAGCCCAGGCTGACCTTGAAACTGAACACAGGGTCACAAGTTTGCTAGGCAAGTATTCTACCAACTAAGCTACATGCTGTTTCCTATAGGGTGATATTCAAGTTGGCTCAGGGACCTTGGGGGCACCAAGCTACCTTCCTCCATTTGTATTTTATTCCAGGTTCCCTAGGCTGAGCAGACATTGAGCTGCCACTCTGGTTGACTTCTGGCTCCCAACTCACTACCTGTCCCTGCAGAAGTCCCATGACTCCTTGGGTCTGTCTCCTTGCTCATACGTTAAGGATCTATAGCAGTACCTCACATGGAGACCCATAACAGCTTCAGGGCACCCTGCATGGCTTTTGCCTTTTGAGGGCTTCTTTTAATAAACCCCTTGAGGGTTTCTTTTATGTTAAAAAACTTAAAAAAATATATTATTTTTATTTTATGTGTATGAGTGTATTGCCTGCATATATGTGAGTGCACCCGTGTCGTGCAATGCCATGGAGGTCAGAAGAGGGCTTCAGATCCCCTGGAGCTGGAGTTAAGGATGGTTCACAGCCACCATGTGGGTGCTGGGAATTGAACCCGGGTCCTCTGCAAGAGCAATCAGTGCTCTTAACCGCTGAGCCATCTCTCCAGCCCCTAAAATCATGTTAAAATTTTTTAAAATCCCTGTTACCTTATCACTAGTAATTACACATTTTTCAAATAAAATAAACATATAGCTGTTAAAGTAGAAAAACGTTGGTCTTTTCAATGTCTCAAGAACTCACATAACACCAGCACATCACCCTGTGACAAGTACAGGCAGGCCCAGGCCTCAGTCACAAACTCCCCACTGCTCCCTCAAACAAGGACTGGGCCCTGTATAAGCCAGCTAGGCTGCCCTCACTAGTGCTGGGAAGCATACAGCAGCAGGAATCATGGCATGCAGACAGACAGAAAGCTCCCAAGAAGAGAACAGAACTTGTACCACAGTTCAAATTTTGGAAGCTATTTCCCAAGAAAAAGATGATGTGCAGCGAGGTCATTTGGCAGAGCCACAGGACTCTCCATCACCCCGGAGCCAGGCCTCTCTGGAGTCAGAACCCCTTGAGGCCTAACAGAAATGAAACCCATGCTCACCTTCTCTACATGATCTTCGGAAGGTCAGAGTGGAATCCATTTCATTCTTAATCTTGATTAAAGCATCCAATACCATAGGACCACACCTGACAAAGAGAAAAACGTTAGGTATAAAAGGTCAGGATTCTTATGTTAGCATGATATGCCCGGGGCACCTGGACCACCATTCACTTGGCCTTCTCAAGACCATCAGATTTTTTTTCTAGTTTTATCTTTTACTTGCTTAAAATTTTAACTACTGCATAGCTGTATTTTTGGGGGAGGGTTATTCTATTTTGTGTGTGTGGGGGTATATGCTTGTGTGCACACATAGGCATGCATGTAGAGGCCAGAGGAGGACATCCGGAGTCTTCTATAGCTTATTACCTTGAAACAGGTTCTCTCACTGAACCTGGAGCTTGCTGTTTTGGTGGTCAGCAGGGCCCAAAGGTCCTCCTGTGTTTGCACATCCCCATACCCTCTAGTGCTGGGATTACGGGCACATGAGGCCACACTTGTTTTTTTAACATGTGTGCTGGGGATCCAAACCTAGGTCTTCATGCTTGTACAGTAAGCTCTCTGAGATCTGAGACCCACTGAGTCATAAAATATACATAATAATATAATATATATGATTTAATACCTAAATTTAACACTTTTTTTGAGACAGGATACAGGACTCCCTTATAGCCCCAGTTGACCTGGAACTAACTATGTAGACCAGGCTGGTCTTGAGCTCAGAGATCTACCTGCCTCTGTCTCCCAAGTGCTGGAATTAAAGGCCTGTATCACCATGCCTGGCTTAAATAATACATGTTTTTTTTTTGGTTTGGTCTTTTTGAGACAGATTCTCCCTGTAGCCCCAGCTGACCTGGAACTCCCTATGTACACCAGGCTGGCCTCAAACTC